GGTTGCAGTAAAACTAGAAAAAATCTAAAGTAATTAATAATAATTTAATTTACTATTAATGTACTAACTAATAATAAATTATATTTTTTTATTTTAAATGTATAGTTGAGATACACACACACTCATCTTTAAGAGCTAGGCTCTTGCTGCTGCAGCATCCCATTAGTATAGCTGTGTAACACCCTCCATCCTTCCCTGTTTATAGCCCTAACCTTTACTTCTCTGAAGATAAATGTTGGTTCCTATAGAACCAACATTTATCTTTTTATTTGAGATGCATAGCCGATCCTCGCTCCTTATCCCTCTACCGCGCTTTCCTTCTATCTTTCCTTCCATGATGTTATTAAATGAATCTGTCATGTTTTATTAGGTGACCTATCATCTCTCCTCTCCGATTTTCTATTACACATACATACAGCGTAAATAGTTATCGGATACTATTTAACTCTCGGATACTATATCGCCATATGGCGTTTCCGTTGCATTGTTGATATCCAAAGCATTCAGTTTAAAGCTAACTGAAGGGTAATTTGTCGCGCTTAAAGAATCTCTTCACAAATGAACTTCAAAATTGACTCTTCATGACCTGTTCTCTAGAATGTCTTTCAATATGGTTTATATTAATTGTTAACTAACTATTGACATTATTAGGTTTTTATCAATTTTTGCCTCACATTCGCATTTCATTTAATGCCCCTTGGAGTGCATGCAGCATCACAGACAATCTCAAAAGTTATACAATGAATATTAAAATTCAATTTCATTCTCTTTTCGACGCCCCATTCTCAACATTCACGTGAATATCATGAATACATTAAATATACATTTTAAAAATAGTTTTATAAAAAGTTGTATTATAGGTATATTTAAATTACAATGCTCGTATTCATTTTTGAAAAAGATTTCAATTTATGTACTTACTGGATTCAGATAAAGTGTTTATTTTTCCGACTTCAACTGATAATCTCACTGTCGTCAGCGACTATATTAATCGTTGATGATATATAAAATCCAAGCACACATTGTTCGATTCATAATTTGACAAGTCTGTTAGGTATTAAAACTTGACCAAATCAGAAACTATCCCAAGAATGGAAAGAATTAAGATTCAAATTCACATAATGAATCTTAATTCATAACCAATCGTTTGTCGATTTAGCCGTGTATATTACCAGGGTGATCGGGTCACGCAAGTGTTCACTGTTGCACGAATTGGCAAGACCTTACAGACCGGCGTAAAGTGTTACACTTCTGCCTTACGACTGGTGAGCGCGTTAGCCGGGGCCCACTTTATTTAAAGCTGGCAACCCTACGGATTTGCAAATGCCCATGGGCGGCTGTTATCACTTAGCAACAGCTCGTTTCACTTTCTCACATTAAAATTACCATCAACGCATAAGTTTATGGTAACCTTATCGAATTCTACTCAACATACACGCCATTAACACGCAATAAACTAGTTCGCATGTTTCACCTTCCAGGCGACTGCATGTATCTACCCTATAGTTCGCATGTTTCACCTTCCAGGCGACTGCATGCACCCTAGTTCACATGTTTCACCTTCCAGGCGACTGCATGTACTTCATAGACAAGGGGACCGTCGCGATATACTCTGGGAGCGGCACCGAGGTTTGCCATCTAGAGGACGGCGACATATTCGGCGGCATAGCGCTGGTGGCCAAGCACAGGCTGCGCATCGCCACCGCCGTGGCGGTGACCAACTGCGAGCTGTTCCGCATGGACCGGGGCGACTTTGAGTCGTCCATAGCGCGCTACCAGACCGTTTACGAGGAGATCGAGAAGGTGGCCGTGGGGATCCTGGACCGGGCGCAGGTACTGGACGAGCACCGCAGGGCGGAGAGGAGGGCCGTTGGCGATACGCACGGTGTATAAGCTGATACTTCAAAATGTGTGACGACTCCCTCGCTCAGTTGGATTTTTTTAAAAACATTGCCCTTTCTTTAGGATAACATTATCCTGTGTTGTAAGGACGCTTTACAAACATACATTTCACGTGGACAAACACCCAGATCCGAAACAACTATCTGTGGGTCACACAAATAGTTGTTCCGTGTGGGGATCGAGTCCACGACTCCGACGCCGAAGCCGATACCTTGGCGACTGCGCCACGGAGTCATCAATATGTTGTAGCTAACGCCCGGTGTATAGTTTACCCTTAGTAGTAGTTACTTTACCCTTACCTCGGGGCAATTGGGAGTCAAAACTGTTTTTTTTACTTACTCTTTTATTTGTCAAAGTTAATTATTAATTTGATGATAGCCAAGTAAGTAGACTTTGTTATGAGGCGGTTGCAATAAAGATCTGTATCAAGCTTTTTTTATTATTGCAACAAATTGTATGACCAAAACAATTGTTTCGGACCTCGGTGTTTGACCGCGTGAAATTTACGTTTGTGAAACATACTTATAACACTGAAGATATTATCTTAAAGTAAGGGCAAGTTTTTCATTAATAAATGAATATAGAAGGCACCTGTAGATTTCAAATGCGGTTGCCTCCTTTTGAAATACTTTACTTTCGGTAAAGAAAACAAATTGTAAATTTAAGGAATGTTAACATTGGACTTTGAATCAATGCACATTTCGCAATCGTGTAAAAGTCAATTTTATTGGCGAATATATTCAAAATGTATTCACAAATATTGAGGAGTCTACTGAAATGTAAATTGAGTTTTGTAATTACTAATCTATAGGCTTTGCGTTTATTTTCGTTGAATCTAATAGAAATATTACAAACGATAGATGGCTCTTAATAATAGCTTTTAGGCTAGTTTTAATTAAGACTAGGGCAGGTTATGAATACTTTTCAACAAGTGATTGTCCATCCATGTATATATCCAAACAAAAATATTACTACCTATAATAATACTACTATTTTTGTTTGGATATATACATATATATCCAGACAAAAATAGTACTACCAGTAATGAATCTTCTCATACTTGAGTATTTTGTTCATTTTCTGCCTTTATAACTGCTGCCTACGACTGTGTAAGTATTGCTTTAAGTTCATTGTGTCGTTTTAAGTTTATGACTATTGTGTGTTCACTAAATAAATTCGGATAAGATAAGATGGTATTTTTTTGTTTTATCACAAAATATATTAAATTCTTACTTGATTTAGTTAATGTTTACGACGTAAGCATATGAAAAAAAAATAGTTTTTTATTTCAGCTTTAATACTATTTCACTGTAGTAGCCATTCTTTATTGATGAATACTGAATAATTTAATGAAGAAATTGTTAAAATTTAACACTCGTACATAGAAACGCACTCACACATAGATCAACTTATATACTTATATATAACAACGATAAGAAATCGAATAAAGTATATCGAATACTTAAAATTATTACCATAGAGCAGAAAACAATAAAACGCCACAGTTCATTATTAGAAACTTTATTAAAAATACCGGCCACCTAAGAAGTGTTAAAATAGAAACATGTAAAGGTAAATAAAACAAAATCATATTAGATTATGAATACTGATCGTGTCATGATCTTGTAAATAGTTCGGAAAGTTGGTAATTATTGTTTAAAAAAAAACACTTGTAAAAAAAATCCAACTCGGTCACAGTAAAAGTAGGTATAAAAAATATTGATCTACGATCGGACGATCGCTATGTTTGCAGTCAAATGATTACTCAGCAGCGAATATGACACACTGACAGTTAAAAAAGCTTTAAGTCGAGACTGAGAAATGGCTGAGTCTTAAACTTCTCTATATTTAGATCCTAATCTAAAAGTTCACTCCCCCCAATAAGATGAAGACATCGATTTGCGAAATACAAATTAAATATTTGTAAACGCTACATGAGAGATACATGAACGGACTCGTGTTACATTTGACGCAATTAGAATGTTTCACTAAAGAAACTATACGACAAAGGCAATATATAAATTCAATTACTGACGCCCGGTTTCTGAAACACGGATAATCGTAGAAGTTAATTAATCAGTTGTCAAATGGCTTTTCAAATGTCATTTGAGTTGCCAAAAGGATGGTTAAACTCTTTTAATTGATCATTCTCAATTTAAACATCCTTTTGGCAACTTAAATAACATTAATTGAAAAGCCATTTGACAATTGATTAGTTAACTTGTACGACGACCAGTGTTTCAGAAACCGGGCGTGAATCTATTTAATTCAAATTCCAGTAGCACTTGCCTTGTATAGTTTTCCCGTGAATCATGTCATATTCAATCAAATTAATGTAGCTTCAGCCATACCACAATCATATAATTTAGTTCTAATTTAGTTAATTTAGTTCGAGTTCAATCTTAAAACTAATGGAATCGTTGTGTTCATGTTGACCGGAAGCCATGTTAGCCGGGAAGCCCCTTCCTCGCCCCGTTTGTTCAGTTCGCTCCCACTTCCGGTTGCCGGCCCCGACTTCCGCTCGGTCGGACCAAACTAGCCACTACTACGACCAAAACTCCGTCATCTAGAAGAAAAAATAAAAAAAAAACTTCGGCTTCGGCTAATGTGAATAGTTTCTCAAAATTTCATCAAAATTGGCACAGCCATGTCCATAGATAACATCGATTTATATATATATATATATATATAAAATAATAAAGTACAATTTAAAATTAAACAACGGAATATAAATTACGTAACAATTTGAAATCTGAATAAATCATCAAAAGGCAAAATTACGTAACCGCCAAATGTCTAATATGGTTCGAGTAAACGAAATTAGTCGATTAACATAGGACTAAGTTTTATACTACACGCTACAAATTAGGGGAATTACCAAGTCTCACGTCACTTCTCAGCTAGACCTATGCGAATTAATCCTGTTTCGGTAGATAGAAGTTCAGTCTACTTACCTCTCAATATATCCTTGCTCGTTTTTCAACGAACGTTTGATCTAACAACGAAATGAAAAATTAAAAACGTGGCACGCTTCCCATTATTTAAATTGTTTATAAAAATCACCTGTCGCCATAAGGCTGAAAAGCGAGCAGGGGCTATGAGGTCTGTCCGACCTCGTTGTGACCGCATCGAGCTCTACTGGACGTGTAGAAAAGGACGCATGGCGATTTCCACCATGCGCTGAACTGCACCACCTCATCTGGGCTAACTGGTACAATGCTGCAAAACGAGATTGGAAATATAGACCGGCCAAATATGCATTAAAGGTCTGTGATACGGCCACGCAATTGTTCGCTGTTGCACGAATGGGTAGGTCCGTCCGGGGAAGAACCAGGACCTCATAGAAGATCGGCGCGTTGCGCTTCTGCGTTTCGCCTGGTGAGTCGGGTTAACCGGGGCCCACTTTATTACAAGGTGGCAATATTTATTAATTCTGTCGTTCGTTATGTATTTACACAGTATGGTACATCGGGGTATATAATATCACCTCAGATCGTTGACCATGCATTCATTCATTCGTTCGTTCGGTAATTCGGAGATTTGTATAATCACTTCGGGTCGTTGAACAGGTACCAGTGCGCGCCATCCTCGGAGGAGAATTGAATCTACGCGACCTGAACTGCATCTTCCATAAGTCAAATAAGAATATTCATTCATTCGTTCGTTCGTTCGTTCGTTCAGTCATTCAGGTGTGAATCGCACGGTATGGTACGATAGGGTATATATCAGTTCAGATCGTTGAACACGCATTCATTCATTCGTGCGTCCAATCATTCAGGTATGAAAGGCATGGTATCGCACATCAGGGGATTTGTTTATTACCTGAAATCGTTGACCATTCATTCATTCGTTCGTTCGTTCGGTCATTCGGGGGTCTGCGTGATCACCTCAGGTCGTTGAACAGGTACCAGTGCGCGCCGCCCTCGGAGGGCACCTGAATGTACGCGACCAGGTTCTTGGGGCTGTCCTCGACGCAGACGACGGCGGCGGTCAGCGAGTAGCGCTCCTCGCACTGCGCCGCCCCCTTGCGCCGGGGCCTGGGTTCGACCCGGCCGCACTCGGGGCTGCCCTCGGCCTGAGTGTTTTGACACATCCTTTAGAGGGCGCGCAAAACTTAAATGCGCCCAAGTTGAGTTCGAAAGCAGTCTGTATAGGCCGCACTTAAATGCGCCTCAGTTGAGTTTTAAAACAGCCCCGTTTAGGCCGCTCTTAGCTTACATGCGCCCGACTTGATTTTTAAAACACGCTGTATGGGCCGCGGAGAACTTAAATGCGTCCGAGTTGAGTTTCAAAATAAGCTGTATGCGCTGCGCAAAACTTGGATGGGCCCAATTTCTAAACATCCGATATAGGCCGCGCAAAACTTAAATCCGGGTCGATGAGGACGTTTCGCGGGCGACGCTTGTTTACGTTCGCGTTTGTGTCCGGTGTAGTTTGCTGCGCTTACCACCAGAGGGTTGGGATGATGCTGGACTCTATCGAAGAACCGTTTTGTCAAATCTTTAAAATGTGCGCGAATCGTCGGGAGTCTGCAATCGCTGTGCAGGTCGACGTTGCGCTGATACCACTGCGCACCGGTTGCGCGGCGGATAAACTTATTTGTACTATTTGCAACTTGTACAAGCGAGAACTAGGGTGCGTGTGAGCGAAGATCATGCATGCGTAGGACATAATAGGTCGTACGCAGGTCTTATATAATAATAATTTGTGCCTTAGGGGCATTTTACTTTTAGCATTAGTTAAATTGTGTAGCCGGCCGGAGACAAACGCGGCTCTATTACGAACGTTATTAATGTGCGTAGTAAATGACATACGCGAGTCGAAAGTGACTCCTAAGTATTTGACCTTTTTCTCCCAGGGGAGCGGTTGGCCATAAAGGGATATTTGCCCCAACTTTCTGCATTGGCGAGGGCCATTATAAAGATGAAAACTTAAATGCACCTGGGTTGAGTTCTAAAACATCCGATACAGGCCGCGCAAAACTTAAATGCGCCTGAATTGAGTTTTAAAACATCCGATATAGGCCGCGCAAAACTAAAATGCGCCTGAGTTGAGTTCTGAAAAATCTGATATAGGCCGTGCAAAACTTAAATGCGCCTGAATTGAGTTCTAAAACATCCGATATAGGCCGCGCTAAAGTTAAATGCGCCTGAATTGAGTTCTAAAACATCCGGTACTGGCCACGCATTTAAAACACAGAAACAAAGACCCAGATCCGGAGCAACTATCTGTGGGTCACACAAATACTTGTCCCGTGTGGGAATCGAACCCACGACCCCCGACGCCGAAGCTAATAGCTTAGCAACGGCTCCACCAAGTCATTCAATTTCCAAGTGTGAAATTAAAATCTTTACCTTGTCGTTAATAACAACATCGCCGTCGGGTTGTAATCTTATGAGCAGGTGGTGAGGCAGCACGCAGTTCGATTCCAGCGGCGGACTCTTCGAAGAGCCCGACTGAGAGGGGACCGCTCTGCAAACAGTTGCGCTGAATTAATCACCCTCAGTGTCGTTGATAGTAACTTTCCTATTTCTAAGAATAACCGGTTAACATAGACACCAGCACAGATGAAATACGTGCATACATTATTTTATATTTATTTAAGTAAAAAGAATACGTCATAAAAATTTAAATGACTAGAAGAGATCCTTAAATTTATAAGATAGTTCGTCATAAAATATCGAGGTTTAGACTGACTAAATCCAGAAGGAACTTTTATAATAAAACAGTTGACATCCACTAACAACTAATTATTGGACACAATTATTAAACATTTTGTAAAACCCTAATGGTAAGGGCCTACTATAATGTCGAAGAATACGTTGAGGACAAGCGTGTGTGGTAAATGGTCACTTTTACTCTGTAATCATTGCAAGTACAGTACTTGCAATGATTTTATACCCAAATAATATAATAATTTTTGTACTTCTATCATTAAAAAAAAAAGATGGCAAGACCGTAGTTTTCTTGCCGGTGCTTCTCTGGACAGGACAGGTGTCAAAATTAACCCTACAAAAAGTAAAGTAACATCCTATACATGCCCCACTGCTGGGCAAAGGCCTCCTCTATCAGGGCATAGTCTACCACGCGGCCCCACTGCTGATTGGCGGACTTGACATATTTTAGATTTTTTTTTTGCTATTTCCTCACGATGTTCTCTTTCACCGCGGAGCCCGTAATAAGTCAGCACTTAAAATTAACAATTTCAATGGTGTCGGCACCGGGGATCGAACTCATGTTGCTCGAGTGTATTGAATTAAAGGCGAGCGCCCTGACAATGAGCTATCACGGCTATAAAATGCGAAAAAACAATGTTGATATCAGCCGTTTGGCGTTGAAACGTCTGTCCGCGAGTCCGGAAGACGCGAGTTCGATTCCCGTAACGGCGGAAAACTTAAGATTTGAACTCTAGTGCAGATATTAGCACTATCAAAATTTAAAACCTATATCCTATAAAAATTTTAATTTCACTTTGGATTTGAATAAAAGTCTACAAGATCATTCTCTCTATGGTCTCACCTCTCTGGATGCTTGAAACGGCAGCCGGGCCGAGCGCAGTGCAATCCATAACGGCACGGCTTCCCACTGCCACCCCTCTTGGCTGCATCGCTCTGCGAAAGCCTCCCTTAATTTAGCACCATAGACAACAGGGCTGAAGAGTAGATCTGATAGTAAAATCCAAATCAACAGTCTACAAGCCCGGACAATCTAGTTAGGATCTGGTTAAATGAAACTATCTTACGGTAGATCTGATAATAAAATCCAAATATATAGTCTACAAGCCTGGACAATCTGGTTAGGATACGGTTAAATGAAACTATCTTACGGACCAATATAAATAAATAAACGGATAGAGGTCTGTCTAAATGAATCTTAGAGTTTTTATCGCGTTTCAATTTGATCTTTAAACTCCCGACGTTTCGAAACCTTTCCAGCTTGACCACGAACGAAATACGTAAAATAGTTTCATTAAACATTTATAACATTCGCGTAAAACAAGAAGTCCATTGATAGAGGTCTATCCATAAAAACATTAATAAAATGATAGACCGCTCATCAGGGAAAAACTACTGGAAAGATTTTAAATCATTTCTTCTGGGTTTTATTTCTTAAGCGCTTGGCCCTTGTCCAATAAAAAATGTATTTGTGATATTTTAGTTTCATGTAAAACTATACGTTTTTATGTAACAGTCATTTTTTAAGCATAACGTATAAAGTGGAACTATTAGATCGATAATCAAGCAAACATCATTTTAAAAGTAATGAAAAGAAAAATTACAAAAGTCGTTGTATACCACGTCTTTCGGAACACCCTTCGACCAATAGGCCTTTTCGTGTGCTGTCACGCCGCCGCAGTTGATGGCCAGGATTGGAGGCAATCTACAAGGATCAATATAAAAAAATTGAATATAAAAAATACCGTAATTATTAGAAAAAACAACCCGGAATGCATTTCAATGCGCCCAAGCAGTACGCGCGCACAAGCAGACATACACTCGCGCACGCACAGTGACAGGCATGCGCGCGCACGCACACACACACCTGATTTAACAAAAAACCCGGACACGCGACGCAATATAGCACAACTCGCGTGTATGCATGCGCTAACGCACGCAAACTACCACGCAATAAATCTCATTAAAGAAAAATCACGGACTCATACAGGCATCTCGCGACAATCATTATTAACAGAAAACACAGACAAGCGGTGCAGTATTGCACGCACAAGCATGCACGCGCACACACACGCACCTCGCGTCGATCATCATTAGCAAAATAACACGGACACGCGACGCGCCCTCACACGCACACACAGCCTCCTCCCAACAATTATCATTAACAAAATAACACGGACACGCGACGCGCTCTCACACGCACACACAGACCACCTCGCAACAATCATCATTAACAAAATAACACGGACACGCGACGCCCCCTCACACGCACACACCGCCTCCTCCCAACAATCATCATTAACAAAAGAACCCAGACAAGCGGCACGTCCTCACACCCACACACGCCCACCTCTCGACCATCATCATTAACAAGAGAACATAGACAAGCGGCACGTCCTCACACCCACACACGCCCACCTAGACAAGCGGCACGTCCTCACACGCACCTCTCACCCACATCATTAACAAGAGAACACAGACACACACCCCCACCTCTCGACCATCATCATTAACAAGAGAAGCCAGACAAGCGGCACGTCCTCACATGCACACACGCCCACCTCGCGACGACCGTCACTAACGAAACAACACAGTCACATGCACACACGCCCACCTCGCGACGACCGTCACTAACGAAACAACACAGTCAACACGCACACGCGCACACACGCACACACGCACGCACCTCGCGAGCCGGCCCCGCTGCGCGGTGGGCGTGAAGCGCGCGCACGCCTCGCACCAGGCGGGCGTGCTGCGCCTCGCCGCGAGCGAAGCGCGCACCAGCTCCACGAAGCCGCCGCGCGGCTCGCCCCCCTCGCGCGCCCCGCCCGGGTACTGCAGCGCGCACGCGAGCACCACCGACTCGCGCTCCTCCTGACCGATTCCACCCCATCGATAGAGCAATGTCGATGTGGAAGATTTCAGAGTGTATTTTCCTACTAATACTATAAACGAGGGGGTTTGGATGGATGGATGTTTGTTACTCTTTCACACAAATACTACTGCATGGATTCTAATGAAACTTTAGAATGATATAGCTTATACATCAGAATAAGACATAGGCTATAATTTATATACATATTTTATATATATCTTTCTTTCTGCCTGAATGTCACGCCTTCAGCCTATTCTACGCAGACGTAGTCGCGGGCAGCAGCTATTATTACGATAATTCCTATGCCCGCAATTTCGATCTCATGCATTACGCAAAAATTTTTGAAAGAACAATGTTGATGTTGTAGATTTCATTGGACTGTATTAAGTATCATAACTTTCACGTCCATGGCTGTTCTATCTCACGCAATCACACTGCGTAAAGATTGTCGAAGGACCAATATGAATTGTTGCTGTTGGAATTTTCTTGAAGACGGTACGGTAAGTATATATTTTCGGACGGGATTTCAAATACCAGTGGCGAGTGCACGCCACTGTCATTTAAATCTGCAAAAGAACTCACTAGGTCAGTTATTAGTAAAATAAGGTAACAGACTAGTGTTCCATTAAGAATAGACGTAAAACATCACTGCGGGGAGCGCATCGAAGGAGTTTTTATAATTGAGAAGGAAACCTCCTTGTTGCACTTAAGGCAACGGTTCAGCTGGTGACGACCGATCGCGAACAGCTGAGAGACCTCCGACTCCTCAGTCTCAGCGTGTCGATTGCTGGACAACTCCTGATCGCCGCCATGTCCCTGCTCCGATGGGTTATGTCCTGGGATATAGAATAAACATCATAAGCATCATAAGTATTTTTCTATCGATATCGATAATATCAAAGTTTCAAATTTAACTTTATATGTGACGATTGGCTTAGCGGATTGGCTTACGCCAGAGATTGTGGGTTCGATCCACGCTACTGGAAAAATATAGTGTGACGAAACTAATGCTTTTCCAGTGTACGGGAGTATATACATTTCGGTTGACATTATTACTACAATAATTTTATAAAAATTTAAATAGACATTATATATATATATATATATATATATATATACATCGCGCTTCAGCGATTTTCATGAAATTTAGTATGTGCGTAGATTCGGGGGCGAAAATTTTGCTAGGTTTCATTTTTAGAAAATGTTCTTTTATCTCTGTTTTCGGGAAATGAAAAATGTCATTCGAATACGACGGTAAATTTCGCAGAAAAAATGTTACAATAGTGCGGTGGGTAATCGGGCGGCCCCGAAACAGAAGGCCGTGGTTCGAGTCACGATCATTTACATACTCATTTTTTTTAATTTTTTTTCGATTCCAGATCATTGCTTTCTTTATTTTTTATTGTTTGTAGATCCAGATGATTTTGTTATTTTTTCCCTTTTTTTTAAAGTTGTTTCTTTTGTGAAAAACACCACTTCATATTTCCTTATTATTAGGTCGATAAGATCGAAAAATATTATGCATATGTACTCAGTAATTTGTATTTAAATGTAATTTCCAAAATACAGCTTATTTCATTCGTAGAAAGCAACCACGACGGCGTACCTTTATCGTTTACAGCATTCCAGCCGACGTACGGTTCGTTATAAAAATTAAATCAAAGGCAAACTGAGCCGTATCACCATCGAAATAGAGTTTATATCAGCTTAATTATTACAAAACGAACACGAGGCGTACCACCACCGTTTACAGCTTTCCAGCCGACGTCGACTGTGAGAAAAAAATAATTCAAGCCGTATCGCTATAGCAATAGAGTTTAGATCAGCTTAAATCGTATAAATCGAACAAGAGGCGTACCCTCATCGTGTACAGCTTTCAGCCGACGTCGTCCGTGAGAAAAATTAAATCAAAGGCAAACTGAGCCGTATCACCATCGAAATAGAGTTTAGATCAGCTTAATTCGTACAAAACTACCAGGAGGCGTACCTTCATCGTTCACAGCTTTCCAGCCGACGTCGGCCGACCTGTCCTCTTTATCGAAATCTGGCAACGGCCCCACGAACTCCATTTCGGTGAACTGGAACTCGCCACGGTACTGGCCGTTTACTACCCGGTGCATCTTGCTCGGGCCGGCCCGCACAATTTTCGGCGGGCTCGAGTTATGCGCCATCAAAACTAGCTCCTTCTCTTTCTTGCGCGTCTCCAGTATCTCGTAGTGGATCTGGTTCAGTATGAAGCGGTTCCAACTCTGGAAGGCGACATTTTTCAAAATAAACTTCATGTATTCAAAACTATAACGTGTTTCGTAGCGATAGTGTTAAACGTTACTTTTAAGCTTTTGCGTTATCCGGTGATCAATAATCGTTCCTGTGCGATATCTATCGTTGAGAATATTAAAAATACACAAGGTAAAAATTCCCTCCCCCCACAAACCAGAAAAAAAAGATACTAATTAGCCAAATTCAACTCAATGAGTTGGGTTATCAAAATATCTTGCTACTCTAGCGCCATTCTATAGGGATTGGGAAATACTATTTACTCTTTACAGCTGGAAACTTGCAGCTATTTCCGCGTACACCGTGGGACAGTTCTCTTTACCTCTACAGTCAACAATCAACATCGGGTGAGCTCGCTGCTTATGCCCGGTTCCTATATTCAATGAACGGCCGTTAGTTACATAGCTTCGTACCTTTCATAACGGTTCCTACATTAACAGAACCTACGTTGCATTACCTAAGGAAAGTGAGTTACTAAACTAAAGGAACGCTCCTTTAGGCACGGTTCCTATATTCAACGAACGGCCGTCGGTTAAATAACTTCGTAGCCTTCATATCGAGTCGTTGTAACGACTTTATAATGACAATGTAACTAACGGCCTTCGTTATGAGAGTTACGAAGCTATGTGACTGACGGCCGTTCGTCGAATATAGGGACCGGGCGTCAGTCACCTGTATGAGGGCCAGCGGGTCCGGGCGGGTGTCCGCGCGCTCGCCCAGGATCAGCCCGAGCGCGGCCGCTTCGGGGACGGTGCGGAACGCGCGCAGGAAGTTGTTCGCCTGGCAGGCCGCGCCGCCGGACGTGTCCAGCATGCGGAACAGGAAGCCTGCCGGCGGCGGGGGGCCGTGACGTCACAAAGGGGGCTTGGCGTCGCAGAGGGGCGTGGCGCCGCGGAGGGCGTGACGTCACAGACGACGTGGTGTCACATATTGCGTAGCGTCACAGAGAGCATGGCCTCACAGAAGGGCGTGGCGTAACATATTGCGTGGCGTCACATATTGCGTGGCGTCACATATTGCGTGGCGTCACAGAGAGCGTGACGTCTTAGGGGGCGTGCCCTCCGCCTGCGGAGTAGAGGACGTCACTGGCGAGCCCGTAGCGCTTGGCGGAGCGAATGACGTCACAGAGCCAGGGTTTGCGAGTCGGTCGCGAGCAACGCGTCACGCTCATGACCCAGCCGGTGACTTTGGACAGGTTGCCAATATCCGCGATGTAAGCGGGCGGGGCTCGTGAGGCGATATTCCTTTATTTGATTCATTCTAACAAGTACGAACGTTAGCCCGTTCACAACAGCGTACCGCAGCAAACCGCAAGAATTCTTAGTGAATCTGAATTGTATTCTTTGGTTTGTTTACTAAATAACTTTAGACATTGAGGCGAGTGGATATTACTCAACCCATTACACTGCCTTCTGAAGCCATATGTGAAGTTCAAATTGCTACAAACTCCTATTGGTCGGGCAAACAAAAGAGAAAAGTAAAGTAACAACCTATGTACATATGTCCCACTGCTTGGCCAAGGGCTCCTCTTTACAGAAGATATTAGGGCATAGTGCATCACGCGACTCCACTGCGAATTGGCAGATGTTCGAAATACTTTTTTTTTATTATTTCGAATACATGCAGGTTTTCTTAGGATATTTCCTTTCACCGCGGACGTGATAATTCAGCCCTTAAAATTAACAAATCCATTATTAATTTTAAGCAAGATAATGAGCTATCACGGCTCTAGACAAATGAATTAAATAATAAAGGAATGGCACAGTTTGCCGGCGTCACTTTTCCCATCCCATTATAATTTGAACGTCTTCAAGGCAAGAGTCAATAGGCTGTTAGTGAGCTAGTGCATCTAAAATCACATCTTACTTACCGTCAGGCGACATGGTAGTTTGTGCGTAAATAAAAATAAATAAATCAAATAATATATTGAATTTTGCTTCTCAATATTTATCATTGATGACTCCGTGGCGCAGTTACCAAGGTATTGGCGTCGGCGTCGGGGGCCGTGGGTTCGATTCCCACACGGGACAACTATTTGTGTCACCCACAGATAGTTGTTTCGCATCTGGGTGTTTGTCCGCATGAAATTTATGTTTGTGAAACGTCCCTACAATACAGGATAATGTTATCCTAAAGTAAGGGCAATGTTTTTTTTTTTAATGTTAATCTTTATACATAACTGATGTAGCTCTCCATAGAACATTACAGCTCGAACGCATAGCTCATGCTATAGCCACACTTAACGTGCTTGATAATTTTGTATTACAATTTCTACTTGCCAACCGTATAAAGGAGCACGGACGTAGTCCTCGATACATTAAAACCCACCTAATTCACAGCTAAGGCAGAACTCTTTCGCGCAGGTGTGCGCCAACAGCGTTGCCTTTAATGGCGGTATGTAATACAGCACCTGGATTAATTTCATCTGTTAGAAATTGAGTAATTTTCACGAAGACATTTCTACACTGAGGTTATTAAAGAAGGACTACCGCCCTTATGTCGTCGCGACTTTTACCTAAGAGGCCAGTAAAGCGGTAAAGGTTTGCACAAAAACATTTCTAAGTTAACTTTAAATTTTCTTAAATAAATAGTACCTGAAGCATTGGATTGCAGTAGGAGTTTGCAATGGTCGCTTCGATTCCGGGTAGACTTGTCCTGTTGTAATTCTCCAGTTGGTCGTTCGGCCCGTGCTTGTTGTAGCGGAGGTCCATCTGTTGATGGAGACGTCATTCGCTTGGATAAAATGCTGCATTGTAACGTATTATAAGTTCAGGGCAAGAGTCATTTCCACACACTCTTCTCGATGTATCCTTCGACATTACAATAGGCCCTTTCCATTGGGGTAGCTTTTATGTTTGAAATTGTTCACACTCAATTGTAGGTGGATGTCACCTGTTTTATTATGTAAGTTAATACATCTACCAAGAAACGATTTTCTGGTTTAGGTAATCTAAACTCCAGTATTTGAGTCATCACGAACCCACGCTTTGTGGTATGTTTTTACTTAAAAATGTGGATATTATTACATATATGTTATCGAGTAAATATATAAATATATAATATATAAATATATAATTTATAAACGATTATTGGCTTAAAAAGATGTCGTGATGGCTAACTTGGACTCAAGCCTTAGATAGCCTGTATAGCCTGCTTTTTCAATAAAGATATTGTGTGTTTGTCGAATGCGTAATCCCAAAGTAGAATTCATCATAGGACATAATGCTGTGAAAATAACCATAATAATTTGCCCCAGTGTCCGGGCGCTCGAATTTAACTTACTATACTCGAGCAACCCGAGTTCGATCCCCGGTGCCGGAACCAATAAAATAGTTAACTTCAAGTGCTGACTTATCAAGTGCTCAGTGGTGAAGGTTTTCCTTCACCACTGAGCACATCGTGAGGAAACCTGCATATTTTCGAAATAATAACAAAATATATTTCAAAGGTTTCTTTTTTTTTCTTTTTTTTTTTCTTTAAAAAACCATTGCACTGACTTTAGATTACCATTATGCTGTTTTGTATGGACGTTTTACAAACATAAATTTCACGTTAGACAAACACCCAAATGCGAAACAACTATCTGTGGGTCGCACAAATAGTTGTCCCGTGTGGGAATCGAACCCACGACCACCGACGCTGAAGCCAATACCTTGGCAAGTGCGCCATGGAGTCATCAAAAGATATTTGAAGCGTTCCAGGAGTGAGGTATAGAATGTAGTTTACTTTTATTTTAAAAACTAATTTAGCTATTGATATTGGAATCTCAAATTTTACTTTGCCTTACCATTGCATTCGTTTGTGTGTAGTCGAATATATTACATAGCTGGAGTGTTCTGGGTACGCTGCAAAAAATCTTTTGATACCTTTTGATAACGCCTTGGAATCGGTTGTGTGTTAAAGTTCGCATCGGCTTGCTTAGCCGCGTTCAAATCGTCCAAAGTGTCCGGTACGTAGGGCATCTGGGAAAAAGATTTAAACAAATAAAAGGATGAAACATCAATATATCTGTATATATCTTTCCCTTTCCACTCTCGAAGATTGAAATAAAGAACAAGAAAGAGGCAGAACAATATCTGAGATATATTAATATATATATCTGTCCCTTTCTATTCTCAGCCTACCTGGTTCCGCATTTGAGAAAAAGATTGAAATAAAGAAACGGATGAAATATCGACATATCTGAATGACTGTACGTATCTTTCCCCTTTACTTCCACTTTCGAAGATTGAAATAAAGAACAAGAAAGAGACAAAACAATGTCTAAGATTTATTTATATATATATATCTGTCCCTTTCTATTCTCAACCGACCTGGTTCCGTTTGACATTCCTCGGATTCGGTGCGTAGCCGATTGGCCCCTGCATCTTCATAGACTTAAGCACCTCCGGATCGACAGACTTCGCTTTCCTGGAAACATTGCTTCGTGTCATCGGACATGGGTTAAGCGCAGAAACTGCGATTTAGTTTTCCATACGGGTTCTACATACATCTGTCGTCGATCTGTCAGTCTGTTCACGTGAACCGACTCAAACGTATGTTTATTCGCATTTGTTTTTTTTTTCAAAGCTGTGACTAAGTGCTTACAGACAGACGTCAATCTCAAAAATTACTTCGGCATCACTCAATTCCGATGTAATCCCTTATGTTACTACTTATGACACAAAAATAACCTTTAATCGGTTTGAAGTTAATGATAAACCTAATCTATATTGGTACAAAAGTTACAGTTTCATCTTAGGCTTTTTTAATTATTTTTTAGGTGTCCTACTAGGCAAGTTGTTAAACCTTCCCGACCCAAGTCCAATCTTAAAGACAGAGCCATTCAGACCACTGGTCGAATTGCAAAGAAAAAAAGGCCCTTAAACGTAATGCCTATTGAGCTGTTATTTGCCTACACGTGCAAGACAACTAAACTATTGTTATCAACGGATAATGAACTTTGAAGTGCTCACGCATAAAGTTCAATTTTACCTGTAGATCTTCTTGAAGAACTCAGGCGGCAGTTCGTTGAACCATCTCGCTCCGCTCGTCAAGGGCGGCAGCGAGACCGTTGAGAACTGGAACGCGGTGTCGTTGAAACTGACGCACGGCATACCCACCACCTGATCCGCGAACTCCGTTGATCTGAAAATCAAAACAGGTTATGTTATGTTAGACAAACAAAATATGAAGGAAATCTCGATAGAAGGTTTAAGTGATCAAGGACAGATATTTTCGGCTACAACAAGGCAACCTTTGTCGGTTTATTGCATGTTATCAATAAATACATAAAAAAAAATTGTTAATTCATACGTCGATAGAAACGGTTGTCAAGTTCGATAGACGCCATGTAACCATCATAAACGATTTAAAATTTAGACCGCTACTTTATTCGTACATTTGGACGTTACGAAAAGAGCTTAAAACATACCATCACATAACATACCATCCATGTAACATAATTGCCTTGATATTATGTGACATGGATGATTATGTATTTCATATTATGCGACCGTGGGGGAAGCTAGAAGGAATAGAGCGAGGGGATCACCTCGAAAAGTTGTTGAACACCGGCTCGTGGTTGTGTTGGGGCGAGAACAGGTGGAGGTGGCCTGCCTGGTCGCCGAAGACCAGGGCCTGGCTGGTCGCAGACACGTCCATGACGCTGCACTGCGAGCTTTGGATGTCAACCTGAAATGTTACGAAGTTCCGAATCATCTACCAGGTTTCGAACAATTTGCAGTCATCCTCATCACCGTCAGCCGTAAAGGCCACATGTTGAAAATGAGCTTCCCCTTAGAACGCCACAACGAACGACAGTGTTCCATTTGCATCTACCGGTGGCCCGCGTCTCTTACGATGTCATCGATCCATTTCGATTCAATGAATATGGGTGTTTTTCAGAAAAATTGACCCTGTGATGATCAGGAAAAATAATTTTGGCTTTACATGAAATTGTTCATATTGTCCCTGGTATGAAATAATTCATTATTAACTAGCTAAATATGCTATTTAAATTAATATAAAACCATAAATATAAGAAATATTCAAGTTTTTCTCTCAGTATATGATGCAAAGTATTCCTGTGCGTCACAAAATATAATGAATCAGATATAAAACGACCAGGTATCGAAAGAAAATCAACGTATATTACCTTATAGATATGCTTAAAATCTTTCCATAAACATCAATAAGGTAGCATATTTCTATCACATTAATAAACAATCAGGGAAATAGTTTCATGTTCGTCACTTCTTTGACAAATGGCACTTGAAATGTTGTCTTTACTAATGATACGTGTAACAAATTTAAAAATTGAGCAAATTGAGGAATTTTTGGCTATAATAAAATACTGATAATTACTAAATAAACACTATAAAATGAAAAATAGATATTTAAAAAAACCATTTTTGTACTATTCAGAATATGGGACAGTGACTATTACGACAAGTGCGTTACGAATAGGAATAATTTGAGCAGTGTCCACACCACCGCGTTTAAAAACACAATCACAAAGAAGTTAACGCTTTATTAACTTAAAATTGTTAATAAAAGTTTTAACTGCATTAAACTTTTTTATTACACATAAAAGTATTAAAAGACATAGAATTATCAATTTGAGATGACATATAACTTATATTATTAAGGTGATTATTTTAAATTTTTACTTACGAGATAATTATCACAATTACTTTAATCAATAGATGCAATAAACCTTTTTTTAGACATAAAAATATTTAAAGATATAGAATCATCAATTTGAGATCACATAACTTATATTACGAGAGCGAACTTAGTCCTTGGTGATTATCTTAAATTTTTACTTACGAGATAATTATCACAATTACTTTAATTAATACGTACATTACACCTTTTGTTTAGTTCCTTTTTTTTTTAATATAAAAATAAATATCCGCGTTTTATGACCCTTTATAATTTAATTCTATTTTAAAACATTTACCTAGGTCATATGAAATTTCACTTTTACATGTCCTATATAAGAAAGTAAAAATAAAAATGGTCAAAGTTGTCCGATTTTGCTAGGGTCATTTTTTGTGAAAAACACCCATATATATACTCCGAGAATTATTATGAACGTTTAAAGTAAAGTAAAAGCCTATATTATACGTTGCTGGGCAAATGCCTCTGTAAAGAGGTTATTAGTGATATCCGATAGTGTTTATCCGATCCGATTGGCGCGGTGGGTAGTGAACGCCTATCGCGCCAAATTTACGTTTTCCAAGAAAACTTCACTCACAACACTCGCGCGCGAGTCGAATGTCATGGATGAGCCACTGTTGGCCTTAGGGGCCTTCACAGATCCGACGGACTTGAGGTGGCCGCCTGGCGCACGAGGCGCCTAGACTGAACCTCGGCGTACTATTATTACGCGTTATGGTGACTAAGCTCGAGGGCTCCCGGGAGCCTCGGCTCGGGCCGTCACGTCTATTATTGTTACCGGTTTGGGAGGCCGCCAAGCTCTTAGGGCGCTTTGGCGGCCGCTCCATGGAGTGATCAGGCTCAAGGGTCCCCGAGAGGGGACCTCGGCTTGGGCTGTCACTCAGCACGCGTTTAGCATTCCGATTCGAGGGTGCCCGAGAGGGCCGGACCTCGGCTCGATCGGTAGCTATTATCTGACTGGGTTTTTAATCAACAATTTTTGCGGACCCTCATACTAATTACAACGGTCAAACCATAGTGTGTTTTAATTTACTACTAACGCCACCTATGTATTACAAATAAGAAACTAAATATTATACAAAGCTAAAATGAAATAATTGTAGAATTTGTATTTATGTCTATGATAATAAAAGCCTTTTATTAAACTTTATCTAATTTAACTTAAATAACATATAGTTAAATATTTTTTGAAAAATAACGTCATAAAAAAGTTTCACTTCTTACGAGTGTACGCTAGTACACGCACACATTTTTTTTATGTGACAAGTCAAGGAACAAGGAAGGATTGCAGATGCACTGGTAACTGTTAATTAACAAGAAAAAAAACTAGTACTTTAAAAGTGTATAAGACAATGGTTTAGACTCACACTGTTTTAGGTTATGATTCAGAAATTCAAAAAATTCACGCATTCGGGGATTCGAGACGTGTGTACAGGACGTCTGTCGGGTCCGCTAGCGGTTAATCAAAAACCACCGATTAACGCAACTATAAACCGTCACCTGGAAGACGGACTGCCGGCCCGCGTCGCTGGGCGTGTTGAGGTGCAGCAGCGCCACGTGGCCGTCGCCCGAGAGCGCGGCCGCGCGGCCCGAGAACGCGGGCAGGAAGTGCAGCAGGAGGGGCGGCGCCGCGGTGCGCAGCGACCACGCACCCCCGCCGCCCACGCCCCCGCGCAGGCAGCGCACGTCCCACACCGCCACGTACGGCTCGGCGACCGCCACGCCACCTACCCTGGAATGTGATCCGCTCCTCGATCATGTTATCGCTTTCAAGGACGTACAACACAAAAACCACCTCTCCACGTACGGTTCGGCGACCGCCACGCCACCTACCCTGGAATGTGATCCGCTCCTCGATCATGTTATCGCTTTCAAACGAGGCCATACAACATGGAACACACCACCACGTACGGCTCGGCGACCGCCACGCAACGTACCCTGGAATGCGATCCGCTCCTTGATCTTTGGCGGATGACATTCTTCCTTTAAAACGAGGTTAATAGAAGAGAGATAATGTTCTCGCTTTCAAACGAGGACGTACAACACAAAAACCATCTCTCCACGTACGGTTCGGCGACTGCCACGCCACCTACCCTGGAACGCAATCCGTTCCTTGATCTTGGGATGAAATTCCTTTAAAACGAGGTTAATAGAAGGGAGATAATGTTCTCGCTTTCAAACGAGGACGTACAACACAAAAACCATCTCTCCACGTACGGTTCGGCGACTGCCACGCCACCTACCCTGGAACGCAATCCGTTCCTTGATCTTGGCCAGATTATATTCTTCCTTTAAAACGAGGTTAATAAAAGGGAGATAATGTTCTCGCTTTCAAACGAGGCCGCACAACACAAAAACCACCCCTCCGCGTACGGCTCGGCGACCGCCACGCCACCTACCCTGGAATACGATCCGTTCCTTGATATTTGCTGGATGACATTCTTCCTTTCAAACGAGGCCATACAACACAACGCCCACACCACCACGTACGGCTCCGCGACCGTCACGCCTCCTACCCTGGAATACAGTCCCCCTTGATCAAGATGATGATGTTCTTGCTTTTAAACGAGGCCATACAACACCATTACCACATAATCACGTAGGACTCCGCGACCGTCACGCCACATACCATGGAATACAATCCGTTCCTTCATCTTTGCTGGATAATGTTCTTGATGGATGGTGGTTGATGGTGGATGAATGATAATTGACACCATCAAGAGGATAGTCGTGTATGTAATCTCTATCTTATTTGAAGTTGTTTAAATGAAATATAAAAAACTTCATTATTCTAAAATGAGATAACTTTGCTTGATAAATACCTATTTCCACAATAATTTCCACGGTAATTACCATAGTATGCGAAAAGTTCGCAGAGACCAACTAGTGTTCATGTACAAGTACTAGTGTTAATGTACAAGTTAATGTACTCGTATTATTGCTTAGTCAGCGACGTTGTCAACTGCAAGCTGAAGAAGCCGGGTATGCGGATCTTGGCTTCGATGGTATAGTTGAATCGCACGCTCTTACTGCAAAGAGCCTACCTTCCCGCATCTGCGCCGCAGTGCAACCCTCTAAAATCACTAGGTAGGTACTTAAGTAAAATGCAGCATTCATGTCTTCGTTTCTGACTCCTCGACTGTTAAGCTTAGAATAAACACCAATTCTCAACACCATTTTCGCTTTTCACTCTAGTCACTTTCTTGTCGCTTATTGGACCCGATTCCAACTGGTAAGAGCATTACTATTTGCGACATTAAAAGCATATACAGCGTGTCGTTACAACCGCGACAATAAATGAACACACGTCTACAGCTACTTACCAATAATCATAAAAAAACATAAGCATTAACAAAAATCCATAATTAAAAAAAAATATTTTTTAAACAAACTAATTAAATATAAATGAAACTAAATTTGTAACTTTTTCATTCGTTGCCACAGCGTCGCATTACAAGTCTCTCCTTCTAACAGTATGTTTTATCTCTTTTTAATTCAATCAACCCATTCATATGCTTTGTGACCTTTACAAATGAACTTTACGTTACAGTTTTATACGTAAGGTTGTTCTAAAATTGTTTGTTTTGGAAAATTTAATAACTCTAAATTTCGATGTTTAAAGAATGTAAATGTTTAATATAATTTAAAAAAGTTATCCTCTATATGTGTGTTAATTTATTCTCGCGGTTGTAACGACACGCTGTATAAAAACTCAACGAACGCTTGATTGGAAAAAAAATTACACAATAAATCCTTGAGCAAACGGTTACCACACAAGGCCACTTTAACGGCGTTTTATTGTCATATCCGTAAAACGTCCACTTACGACTGCGTGAAGCCGCAAGTGATGAGCAGGTCGCCCTGCATGTCCAAATCGGACAGACAAGCCGTGTGAGCCCTGAACGTGTGCTCGGCCGTATTGGGTGTCCTTATATCGCGAAGGGCAACCTTCCCATTGGCGCTCCCACAAGCGACTAACGCCCCACCCCCGCTGCGCAGGACGACACAGCCGTCCTCTTTTATAGGCTGGAAATAATTAAAACAATTTTAACTGGCCACTTACTAAACTAAAACACTTTATTGTGAACAAAGCACACATGCACACGTACGCACACATGCTTGCGAGCGTTTTTTTTTATATCTTTTAAGTAGCGTTCAATTCTTTTTGGCCCTCGTTAATATGGAAACAATAAATGCTGACTTACCAATACTGTTTCCGACATTTTGTTTAAATCCAACTCAAGTAAATTATTTTGATGACCTCCCATCATTAACTTTGTTGGGTTTACTTGAAAAAGGCATTGCATGTCAATCATATTCTGGGACCTATAGTAATAAAAATATTAAATAACTGAATTTGGAAATGGGTACTATTTTCAAATTTAGTTATTTAGTAATTTTGTTTGTGTAAATATATGGGTTTAAAAAGAGTAAAAGAGCATTTATGGTTAAGAAAAATGTAACATCTTCCTAAAATACTGTATAAAATTCTTTGAACTAAGATTTATTAGCATATTATTTTATTACACTTTACTTAATTCATAGTGTTATTCAAAGTTTTGTTACTTGAATCAGCATAGGAAGTAAAAAGATAAATAAATCAAAATTAATAACAGTTGCTCCAGCAGTATACATTATAATGAACCAACAACCGTTTTTAAAATCAAATTTTTATCTTAATCATAAAACCAAATACTTTTGTTTAACAATGCTCTTTCAACATACAAGTAATTTCTTGAAACAGAAAGTATGAAAATAAACAGTCACCAGTTGTATCAGTGATAAAATATTTTTTTTAAATAAAGTATAGAACATAGTTTGTACCTGTGAGTGTGTTTAGGAATCCCCCTACGTATCTGATGTCTTAAGGTTGTTTTAGTTAAAGCATATATTCCCTTTTCAACTGTCAAAATGTCTCTGACTTCTTCAGACTCGTGTATTTGGAAGGATGTATATTTTTGCATCCCTGGGCCATAATATGATGTAACATGACCCTTTACATAAAATAAACAGTTAACTTTTACAGAAAAAAAATCAAGCAAACAATTTAATATATTTTTCTGTTTCACAGAGATACTCACTATAAAGATTCATTTGCATGCATTACATTTAGTGCAAATACATTTTTAACTGGTTTTGACTTACACCTTGGTTGCCCATCCATATTAACTCTTCATATTTGTCAAAGACCACAGCTGATACACCATACCTATCGCCACCATCCACCAGGACACTACTTCGCACTTCATACTCAGCTTCTTGTGTTGGTATTAAATATTGCTGGGAATATTCTGCCCCATAGTGATCTGTCAATCAATTAAATTAAATGTGTATATTATAGTTTACCACACTTACCCCTTGCAGTTATACTACTCTAACTACTAACCAAAACATTGACAATTCAAAAATAATAACTTATCCACTTCTCAGGCCATGAAATGTTTAATGGCTAAGGTCAGGATAATAAAGAAAAAAGGCTTAAAACTCTGACTAATTCTAGTAATGATATTAAAGGTTTGTTTTATTGATGTTAACATTGAAAATTTGATTAGGTTAAAAACTTTTCTGAATATTTTATCACAGAATTTGAATAAATTTTTGTGGCTGACAATTGGCCCACTATTTGATAACTTTATCTGAAACAAGTTGACTATAATTTGATTTATCCCTACTTATGTGAGTTAATTTATAAAAATATATAATTTATAACTTAAAACTAATTTTATATGTTACAGACCATGAACATTATGAAATATAAGTTTAACATCTAACATACTTAATGGTAAATTAAGAAACTGAAGAAAATCTCTTATGTTAATGAGTTAACGGAGCATTTAGGGATTGAAATTGAAGCACAAAAGTAAAAGATTTTTGTTTGCAGAAACATTCATATAAATATGTATTTGTAAACAAAAGTTGAATAAGGAAGATATCAGCGTAGAGATAAAATAGACTACCGATAAAGGAACATTCAAAATCTCATATTTTGCAGATCTTGTATGTATTACCAGTATTCACCAGGATTTTGTACTTGTTACCCTTCATATCTACAATACTGACCAGTCAACAGATGATCGTGGTGTATACCGATATCCGAATAGTACTCCATGTTTTGTAGGAAAAACGGTAGTATTGTTCATTTACTGTATCATTTAAGTTATACTCTTTCGGGCAAACATTTGTTCAGTTTAAATTTATGTATTAAAAACAAATTATAAACACAGAAATTAAGCCTTCTGAAGGTGAAGTTTACGGGCTGTCAAAACAGCATACGTTTCCATTAGAGTTGTCAAAGTCAAAGATGTCAATAGTTTATCGATGTTTTTAAAACCGTTAATCGACAAGTGTATACTGTATACACAGGACTGATTTTTTTTGTGGAGGTAAAGATTGCTTGTAGCCTTAAACTGATTCGTCAATAGGTAGGCTTTGACTTGCATTTAACAACGGATTTGAATGACAATTTCATCATTTGAAATATATTATAGAACCTCCTATAAAGAAGATGAACAGAGTACTGATTTGGATATCGCATTTCTATTCTGCTTATATCAAGAGGCACAGGTTACGTGAAGGATTTGATTTTGAATTACTTTAATAAGTAGGATATATTGAAGATTACTTAGTCATGTAATCTTTTTTGCGGTAGAACATTGAAGTCCATGGGGTTGCCGCAGGTCAAAAGTTTTGAAAAAATTATGTGCTCGACTTATTGCTGTGCTGATGAAAGCCGGTTCCTGTTTAGCGCAAAGGTGAAGTAGGTATCAAAATGCAGCGAAGTGTTGTTCATACCCTGCCACGTGGGCTAGATTTGTTAGATAACATGTAAATTAGTATATTGTTGTAACATATAAATTAGTAATAGTATAGTATTATTGCTTTGTTAGTAGTGTTGTGTTTTTATTAGAAGTATTGTGTAACTATATTTGTTCAATAAATTATGTTATCGCAAAAAAAAAATTTGAAGCTAAGGAGTAATTTTGTGACTTCAGAAATTATTATGTTACTGGTCCTTAAATTTAACAGAACGTAAATTAGCAATTCTGCACCTTACAAATAAGTCTAGATTCTAGATGCCTCGTAAAATGCTTGTATATTAGTGACGACTATCTTTTTTACATTGCAAAAAACGTAATTGAGTTAAAAATATATTTATTCAAATTCACTTGGAGAGAGACACCAAGGCTTAAGCCTTTTGTCTCTGTGAGTACTACACAGAGACAAAAGATTTAAGCCTACTTTTAATAACTAAGTTTGGAGTTTCAGATTTATTTCATAATTGTAATCATTAACATATTTGTGCAAAAAAACTCAATTATCACATCGTTTTTTTTTTAGTTTGAAAATTGAAAGAAAATTCCCTATAATATCAACAAACACCAGACAAATGATAAATAAAAATAAACCCACTAATGCCCGGTTTCTGAAGATCTCAGTTAAACGCACGTAAGTTATAGGTTCAATTAAGTTATGTTTGATATAAACTTCTGTCAACTAGGTATCACTGCGTTTCTGAATAGGTACAGTCTGTTAAATATAAAAATCTGTTAATATAAAAAATTTACGTAATCAGTCTGTTAATATAAAAAATGTACGTAACACAATGGATGCGGGAGAGGTGCGAAAGCAGGAGCGCGCACGATGAGCCACGGAACCTGCGCCAGCGAGTTGTCAGCGTGCCGAATTTCGAAGCCTGGCTAAATGCGACGGGGTATGCGCACGTCACCTTTCGGCTAACGCAGGTACTCACCGGCCATGGGTGCTTTGGTGAGTACCTAAACAGAATTAGACGTGAACAGACTACGCAATGCCACCGCTGTGGAGAGGAACGGGACTCCGCGGAACATACACTCACAGAGTGCATGGGAGTCCGAGCGATGAATCCTGGTCTACAAGATACGGGAGGATCTTTCCTTCAGCAGCAGTAGCAGCTGCGCTGACGGAGAATTCTGCTAGGCGGGCACTGGTCTCCTTCTGCGAAGCTGTTATGCTCCAGAAGGAGATCGTCGAGCGGGAAAGGGAGAGGGCCGATCCCGCTCGGAGACAGCGGCGCCAGGCCGGCAGGGGCAGACGTGCTGCCCCGTCAGCCCTGTATTCCCGGGCTCTAGACGAGGACTAAGGTATCTCCTGCCTGTCGTAAAAGGCGACTAAAATGGGACATGGATTGGCAGCAGCACGAAGTGGCCTCGAATCGGGGAAGATTTATCCTTCACCGAGGCGTGCTCACGTCTAGTACCGAGGGACACCGGTACGTTCAGTAGGAGATACCGGAGTCCCTCCAAACGTACAGAAGGTGGCCACCGAGGGGATTTTAGTGGGGAAAAAACCCCACATAACATCTTACGAAGATTTCCCCCCGATACCAAAAAAAAGGTACCGTCGTACCCAAAAACAATTCATTATCTAAAGAAATTATAAAGAACTTATTCCTTTTCTACCACTAGATGGGCTCTGATTCGCAAGTGTAAAATTTTTTAAGATTATTATTTCTTCTTTTTTAATTATAATGATAATATCCGCTATTTATCAGCGAATGTATGAGTATGAACGACATCATTGTCAAATAAAAACATCAAAAATTTTGTAATGGTTTCGCGCGGTTTTAAAAAATAAACTTAAAAAAAATTAAGAGCAACGGCGACATCTCTCGTTAATTCGTTACAATTATTCATTGTTGAATGTTATTTGTAAGGTGTTGTATGCTGTAAAGGATGCACACTAGTTGCGCCAAGCATCGCTAAAAATGTAATAGAACGGGTGTAGATAGATGTCAAGTATTTCGCGCGAAACCAGAAGGCGCAGATTTGAATCCCGCAGCACCGAACGTTTTTGTTCATTCATCTACAAAAATTTACAATTTAAAATTAGAAAATGCTTCAAGACTCAAGTGACACAATAAGACTTGTCACTACACTAATGTATACTCACTTTTAAAGTTGGTATTTAATAGTTATAATATGGAATATTTCAATTTAATTGAATTATAAGATAAGAATTGTGCAAAGTGAACGCTAAATAAACACAAGTATAATATTTACACACTTTTTTATTAAATAATTTATGATTGGTGTTTATTCAATAATTTATAGCTTACTTAATACAAATTCTCAGTTAACTGTTGTGGGTAAGAAATGTTGATAGTAACTTTTTGTAAATTCCGTCATAAGGTCTGGCATGGCTTCTGGTAATGTGGTGATAAGACGTGCAGGGCTGCCTGAATACCGCGCAAATGAAGGTACAACAGTTTCTGCTGGTAACACTGAATTGTCTTCAATCATGCAACAGTCTTTAAGCACACATCTACGTCCCTGCAAAAAAACAATATTTTTTAATTAGCATTATTTGGTGTTTTATATAATTTGTAAACAGAAAGGTAAAAAAATTAAGTATAATATATGTAAACACGAACTTAACAATGAATTTTCTTATACTAAGTTATTATTTACTTACTATGACAACGTTTTTCCCAATATATACATATGATCCCACAACAGCTGCATTTACAACAGTGTTTTCACCAACAAATACATGATCACCCATTTGTAATGGGAAGAAAGCTACTCTGAAATTGAAAATTTTATTTCTTTATTAAAATTATATTTGTTTTATCAGAAAAATTATGGTTGCAATTATAAAATGAGTAATCACAATTTTTAATATACCGATATACTAATATAATAACAGAATATATAAATATAACAACATAAGTTTTATTTGTATACAATTTAAAATCATAGGTTAGTCAAACATTAAAAAATTTCTAACTTGTTAACCAGATATTATACAGCAGAAATGTTTTGTACTTGTATCAACATAATATTATTATATAAGTATAATATCAACAGACATTAGTACAATAATAAACATCAAAATTTTTCACCAGCTCGCTTTGTGGGGTATGCCTCTATTGTTACATTTGTATTGTTTATATACAAATTAAAGTCTATTTGTTTCTATTTACAATGTATAAGAAATAGGGCGTATGTAATAATGCTTTATAATATTTAGTATAATCCTACCCTTTGCTGAATTTTTTGAAAGGAGGTCTTATTACAGAACCTTTGCTGATAATACAGAATCTTCCAGTTTTAACATTTGCCAGGTCCCCTCTGATAATTGCGTCACTTTGTACAATAACTTTACCATGCAGGACTATGTTTTGAGAGCCACACAATACTGTTTGTCTGCTGACTTTATTTCCAGAAGCCTAAAATTGAACATTTATATGAATTTTGCTTATAAGAAATAGAATAACTAAGTTACTTGGATAACTAACGGTTTCGACGTATTCAGATTTGTTGTAATAAGTGTCTTGAAGCTCCATTTTTACTCACACACCCACACTTATAAAGATTTGTGAAATACAAGTTACTAAGCCTGAACTAAGTTTAAACATAAACAGCAAGAAATGTATTTTTGCTTTGATGAGTAATTAGGTTTTGGCAGGAACCAGGAACTTCGGATCTCGATCGGTAGTGACATTGACATTTGCCATCAGTGCTGCCATTAGAGTCAAAGTTGTTAGTTGTCTTACACCGTTGGATCCCTAAAATTATACAAAATTAAAGTTTAATATATAAAATAAACTGTCTAAACTGTTTAAAAAAAATATCACTTTGTAACAGTAAAAAAGAAACTAAAAAAATAACTTTTAGTTCAAAGCAACATTTTGTTTTTGTGTAAGTCGAGGTCGACGACATGATGATGCCATTAGCAGGGATGTGCAATTCGATTAAAAAGGGTGATTTATAAGGGCATTAATTATTTTGAAGTATCTTATCGACGCTTCTTAAAGAAGGTGGACAGCGATTGTTATTTTTAGGTTGCGATACGAAGACCATTGGTTAAAACCTTCGATATCCATACCACTTCCCCTCGGACAGTTCATCAGACTCCTAAATAAATAGTAAATAAATATTTCAGGACACATTTTTACACAACGTTTTCTAGTCCCAAACTAAGCAACGCTTCTTGTATGTCTTGTATTAACCTATGTTTTTGCTTTCAGTCCCGAGACTATTAAAGCTTCATCGGACGCAGAACCGGTGGGCTAGCCAGAACCCACGGGTTTGGACCCTCCGCTATGGCTAGGGTCGCGCATGTGCTCATGCGTGCGTTTAATTATGGTGTGTCATCTAAGGGCCGTCGAGGTCGCGGTTCGGACCGAGACCCCGACGGCCGTCGACTGTGCATTTAGCTAATCGCAGGCTGGGAGCGGTGAGAACCGCCCCGGAACGCGGGTGTGCAACGCTTGTACTACGGGTATTAGATAACCGATAAAAATACGTAAACATACAATGGGTCAGTAACCGACAAATGCACTAACATTCTGACTGACACCGCACGTCCAGTGTTGAATGTGAAGTCTCCCAAATCCTACAAATGTTTTCAAATTAAATTTTTGTAAAGCAATAGTTTCAAGCGTCATGTCTCGTGATTAAATCGCAATTATCGACTAGATTACTCCCTCTCTATACGTTTTACTATCCATCGCAGTTAGAGACGAGTTACAATCCTTCATCTGAAGGACCGCCTGGATCATGTTCTACCTCTTGTTAGTTGAATTTCCATGTTTAGTTTCCTTGTATACAGGGATCGCGGTGTTACGGTGAGTGTGCGGCTTTATAATATCTCCAGTTTCGTTGTACCACGCGAGGCTGTGGACAGCCACGAGGGTCTTCGTGCAGACCACTTCCGAAGCAGCTGTAAAAGCGGCTGGTCTTAAAATCTTCACAAAAAAAATTAACAGAAAAATAACACAGGCACTACTTCAGTAAAAGAATATTTAAAAAAAAAACAAAATAGCGGGAACTATGTATCATCTATCTATGAGCGGGAACGTGTCTATTTGAAAAAATATAATTCACTATTAAAAGCAACAGTGAAATATATTAGTAATAAAATGGATCGTTACGTAATACGAGAACCACGACATAGCGCAGGTATTTTTATCGACTGTAATTATTATTAAAATAGGATCTTGTTGATCTGTATATTATTTTGTTGTACTTACATGGTATATTGTCATTAATATAGTTGAATCTTATTTTGCTGTAATAATACTTTAGTCAGACAATATCACAATATTTTTAGTGATGTGTATTAGTAACAATTTCTATTTTTTTGTTTCGTAATAAAACAATTATTAAAATTACAAAAAAACAGCCAAAGGTCAAAAATATACATTTAATTACGTTGTTATAGGGAATCCCACAGCAAATCAAATAATATTTCCATCGCCGAATACAGGTGCCCATAATGTCGTCTTAGAGTAAGCAGAATTCATAAAAAGCGTAAAATTAGTTTTCTTTATTTGTGTTACCTATATTAAAAAAAATATTACTTACTTTACTTTGACCCCTCATTTAACCACTTAAGCGTTGTATTCAAACGAATAAAAACCTTTGGGAAGTGGACCATGTGGAACTAAGGATTATTTTATATATCTACTAGCGACCCGCCCCGGCTTCGCTCGGGTGCAATGTATTATACATATAAACCTTCCTCTTGAATCACTCTATCTAGTGAAAAAAACCGCATCAAGATCCGTTGCGTAGTTTTAAAGATCTAAGCATACATAAGGACAAACAAACAGCGGGATCACTTTGTTTTATACTATATAGTGATGCACAGTAGAGAGAAGTTTAATTTCAAGTGTCATTTTACCACATTCACTCACTTGTTTTGCCTTCCCGGAACCACTCCAATAACACTTAAACTTTATGGTATGGTATTAAAGTTCATATTGACTTTTAAATATTATTACGAATCTTTTGTACGGGAATATAGAAAAGTGTTGTTTTTAGACTTTTTCAGGCAATTTTTTAAATTTTTCTCTCGGTAAGAACCATTGTCGTACTTCAAGGAATATAGAATAAGCGAAATCGGTTTAGTTTTTCTGGAGATTTGCGCTTGCAACACATTCAGCGATTCATTTTTTTAAATAGAGATTTTTATATATCTATTGTATTAAAGTTTACGGGGGTTGTACGTGTCACGATAAAGTAATTTGTTTCTGGTTTTGTTTCCTTCGTTTTATAAAGCATTTTAAACACATAAAGTAGACAAGATGTAAATTATGAGCGAGTGCAACCCGTTTTCCAAAGCTCCAAGAAATAAACGTTTCAAATTCAAATTCAAAATATTTTATTTTATTCACATAAATGCTTGCGCGTTCTTATGACATTTCAAAATTTTACATAAAAATTAATTCTTCGAATGTTACCACTTTTTAGTAGAAGTGTTATTAATAAATAAAACCCAAGAAAAAATTGTTATGCCCCATTAACCAGCGATTAAATATCAAGTAAACAATCTATTGGGATTCAATTTCAGACGAGAAAACATGTATTACTGTGGCTTTAGTCCGGATAACTTAAATGCTCAACGAGCGGGTAATACGGGAATTGTAAGTATAACAAGATTCACGAATCAATCGTTCTTCGCATTCACTGAATGTAATCAAAATATTTACAGCATATCATGTTTTCCCTGCAACCGGACAGAGAAATAGCTAATATTTCCTATCCGAGTTTATTCTAAATTAGTTTAAGGTCTCCAAAAAGTGAGTCTTCTGTCTGTAGGTGTATGCATGCATTAGAAATTTGCCAAGGAGTTATTATCAAAAGCCAATAATTTTGAACAAAAAAAAACCGACTTCAAACAGAAAACTAAAAAAGACATTGTTAACCCCTATAACATTTGAGGATTGCCGTCGATTTCTCTGGGACGCCATCATCAGATCTGGATTTCCTTATCATGGCACCACCCTTAGGATATCTCCTTTCCAACAAAAACATAATCATTGAAATCGGTTCATAAATGACGAAGTTAGCCCCGAACACACATAAACAAATATATACGGTCGAATTAAGAAACCTCCTCCTTTTTTGAAGTCGGTTAATAAAGTAATCATAACGCTGTTAGTATTTGAGCGTGTGATTTCAGTTCTCGGTTTATAGTTCCGGCCAACCCCTTAATCGAGTTGAATAATTCTTTAGCACACATTGCTATATAAAAAATAAAATATACACAGACATGATATAATTTATTTTCAATGTCAAGAGAATGAAACGCATAATTAAGATGAAACTACAAATGTTATAAGGGCACGACAAAACTGTCCGATAGGACGGTTCATCATCATTTCAAAAATGGAATGGCCTTACAAGCAATCGCCTTATTTAACACTTGCAAGATTTCTCTTTAAATTATGTTTTTTTTCATCCACTGCCAAGCCACGCCAAACTCCCAACATTTTAATTAAGGTTTCTTCAACGTCAAAAGGACGCCGAGGTATTGTTTCCGACGAACAAGGGATTAACTTTGTTGTTTTCGTCATAATTTTGTTTTGTGTTTTTAAATCAGCCTCGTGGACATAATGCCATTTGTCCCCTCAGATATTGCAAAACCCTGGGCACGTTGTGTCTGGGATCGATCCCCGCTACTTGGCGGCTTATTCTGAGGCAAATGCTTCAGGTACAGGTATTGAGTCTTTTCATTCTCTTAAGCCTGAAGCATTTAAGCAAACACCGAGAAGAGCCCGATAACAGATATATCCGTTCAAAATATCACTTAAAATTTAACTTTAGTTATGATGAATGAACCTTAATTTGTTCCTGATTTAAAAATGATCAAGTCGGTCTTGTGGATTTTTATAACATTTTTTATTAGAATTTGTATTATATTCCTTTTCTGTGAGAGTACATGGATGTTTTATCAAAATTTATTCAATTACTTAATATAATTATTACTATAATAATTATTACTTATATTTGTATTTTGTGTGGAAGAGTAGATATTGAATTTCTCGGCTTTTCTCTGCTAGAAAATGCATGTTACTGCATACAAACCTTCCGCTTGAATCACTCGTATCTATTGCTAAAAACTGCATTGAAATCCGTTGCGTAGTTTAAAAGATCTGAGCGTACAAATATCGGGAGCAACTTTTTTTTTATGACTACGCACACTAACGTACCGAAATTGAAGCACTCAAATTACACTAAATGGTGTAATTAATATTACACCACGTAAATTGCAATTCTATAGACTGCTACCTCTTTCCATATCATCATACGTTATATATCATCTGTCACATTCACTTATATAATTATCTCATATGCGTCATGTATACTAATAAACATCATTGGCCTGATTACAGATTAAATAAAAAAGCATCATCTTTAGGATATTTTTGTTTTATTTTTTTATTGATTCCTCTTTTGTTTTCTGTTAATAAGGTCAAAATCTGCAAATAGATTCAAACTTTGGTACTCCAGACACTGCTTACAATGACCTGTATGGTAATTATCAGAACAAAAATTTTGTTGGTGCTGAAAGATTGAACGTGAGGAAGTTTCTTCACTCGAACCAATCTGCCGCAAAAGGTTGCGTTTAACTCTGTTTGTATTGTTAAATTTTGTAGTTAAGTAATTTAACTTGTTATTTTACCTTTTCATTTTCATTAGAAACACCAAAACAACTTGCTAGGAAACAAATGAATGCTTTTGGAAATACGCCCCTAACATTGCCAATTAAAGAAGAAAATTCTAAGAATAGTTTTGGGGTGCATTCTAACGGTAAAAATTTTTATACGCTAGTTGATTAATTTTTGTTGTATAAAATTGAAGAATAAGACGTATATATAAAACGTATATCAAATATATGTGTATAAAGATTGATTAAATTTATCTCAAGTTCGCTTATCAAGCAATTAAAGCTACAAAAGCCAACAAATTACAAAAACAAACAAAAAGCCACTAAATTACACATAATTATTATAGTCCAGAATTTGACGCGCAGTCAAAAGTATATCATGCGGACTTAAGAGGTTTAATAACTGTGTAAAGTCAGTCTTACAATCTCATTGCTCTGCACTTTGGCAGGAACTTCCCCGTATTTGCGAACACAAATTTTGCTCCACTTAATTGTACGTGAGTTTAGACCGAAAAGTTATACCTTTGGATAAAGTTTTTAATTAAACTTTATTATGCAAAGGACTTGAGTTCCATGATTTACAGTGAGGACACATTCAGGTCCAATCTAAGTTATTTGATACAGAGCAAAGGTAGCATTTCACAAAATTTTACATTTAGCAAAATTTGTGATTAGGCAACTCACATTTTGTCAGATCAACGTCAAATAAAGCGGCCGGGATAGCTCAGTGTCTGGGCGCTCGTTTTTAATTCAATGTAATCGAGCATCCTGAGTTCAATCCCCGTTGCTATCTTATCATGTGCTCAGCGGTGAAGGAAAACATCGTGAGGAAAATTGTATATTTTTGAAATGATATCAAAAATAAGAAAAATAATAAGAATCCGCAGTGGTAGTTTATGCCTTAATACTCTCTCTCTCTCGTCAAATAAATAGAACATTTTGTTGTAATTTTAAAAGCTAGTAATAATTATCTTATTTGTTTGTATAATTTTTAGTTTTGTTATAAAATAATATGTCAAATTTTACATGTTGTTTGAACCTAGAGCAAATAAAAAAACCACAAGAGGCCGTTCAAGCTAAGAATGAACCCCAAGTTCAACTTAGTTCTCGTTTCGATAAACTTAAAGTGAGTATGTTTTTTAATACCGCATTCACATATGCATATTCATACACACACACACACACACACACATTTTCATTTCTTTTCGCGTGTAGAATAAGTTTTTCGTACGCTAAAACTTCGTTAGATCTAAAATTAAATAAAATGGTGAAGTTTTAACATAAAGAATTGAAATTCTGTTACATTTATCCTAGTTATTGTTCAAAGATCATATGGACACGTTTTCTTCGTCTATAAAAACCATTATTTATTATTTGAAGTTACATGTAGCTACTAATAGGATGTTATCGTTGAATAATATCATAATTTTAGTAAAACAAATAAAGTAAATACGTGATGTTTCAACGTTGCAAGGTTATTTTTCGACGTTATTATCCCAAAAATAATTGTTTAGAAATTCTCTTCGATCATGAATCTCTTTGCAGTTATTGCTGTTATGATATAAACTTGTTTTCTTTTAATTTGATATTTTTTGAAATTAAACGAAATCTTTTTTGTTCTTATTAGTTACACGATCTTGACGAGTTCATCATTATCTTGTTTCCTGGTAGAAGTGGTATGACTATATATTTATAAATGTATCCGTGTAATATATTATCTACTAGCTGACTCGGCAAACGTTGTTTTGCCATATAAATTATTTCTAGAGGAATCGGAACGCACGTATAATGTGTTTGACAGGTTACTGTGTAACATAGTTGACAGGTACAGTTTGTATGGAAAAATAAAATTGTTGCTGTTTCGATTTTCCATGCAATTTTTCCATAATTTCTCGCCAGATAAAAGGTGAAGATACTTTTACTTCATACAGACCTTTAGTTCAGACGTGATATTTTCCAATGGAGTATGTCCAATAATTCAACAATAACACACTGACTCTTAAATCATAATATGTACTTCAACAACCGTAAAAATCTTTTATTGTATTTACTTAGAGAATGTTGTTACAAAAACAAATGGGCTGTTGTTATTGCGTGAAAAAATATTTTATATTTGTTTTATCGCCGAAACCACCTCAAAGGTTAGAGGACACTTTTTACTGTGGGAAGCCTTACATTTTACTTTTTCTGTGGGCTTTGATTAATGGCCCGAAACGTGTACGCATTAGATTGTTTACATTAAACGACACGAGAAATTTATTCAGGCGTTAAATAAAAGCGGTCCACGAGTGTTTTCCGGGCCCGTGGAGAAAGTGCTCAAATGGCACAAGTCCTTGCAGGAAGTCGGCGTTTTGATACTTTACGAAATTGTTGGTGAGTACTTGTTTTATTACGAGTCTTTTTTTTTACAGCGAATACTTCATCGTTTTAAATGCAAGTACATTTTTATTTATAAAACAGAACGAAGACTACTTCTCACTCACCATATATTTTTCTATTTGATTTCAATACCAATTGAATTAATATACGACCATACTCATAGAAGTTAAACCTAAGAGATCCGAGGACCTCCTCCTTTTTTGCAGTCGGTTGAAAATAAAGGAAACGCCACGGTTTGCCTAGAAACAATCCCTAACAACATTGCGATTTATTATCAAACCAATTAAACTACGCTATTTTAACGCTATAGTAACAATGCAAACAAAACTTTAATGACTATTGTGGTATTCAGTGTTTTTAGTTGGAAGAAAAGAAATATTATGAGCCCTTCACTTTAGTTTCTGCTAGTTAATTATCAGTAATTAAACCCCGTATTTGGTAAAACAATATACTATATATCATTAAGCATATGATCTTAGCGATGTATATATTCCCTTAATAGCGAATGTGTTCGTTTGCTTCGCTAATATTATTACTCAAAGGATTAATCGGTGCGGCAGTTGCTAAGCTATTGGGTTTGATTATCACACGGAAAAAGTTCTGTGATCCATAGATAATTGTTTCGAATCTAGGTGTTTATTCCCAAGTACGGTTCACGTCAGGCAGGCGGTTTGTCGTAATGAAAAATTTAGCTATTAAAACATGATTCACATGTTGTCTGAGACCACCTAGGTATAAGGGCAGGACAAAGAGAAGAAAGCTGTACTTTGCTATGATAACTATAATTTATGTATTTTAGCCAAGTGTGTGAGTGTGAGACCGGGCGATCCTTGCGCCAAGATCCTGGTCGTTAGGGACGAAAACGGCCCCGCCATGCAAGTAGTTTACTACGAAATTGATTTCTTGTTGCCGGAGCTGAAATTGCCTTGTACTGTTAGGTAGGATATATAACGTTTTAACTTATAAATATGTATATGGTGACATGTAAACAAAGTACGTAAACAAATTACTTTTTTAACATTCATTTCGGTAATAGTAGGTCCTTACTGTTAAGTATTTTATAATGTACTAGCTGATTCCGCAAACGTTGTTTTGCCATATAAATTACAAGCTATACAATAATAATGTATATATGTACCAATAAATAATTGGGTGGAATTTCGTTAAATCCGCTTTCGTTAAATTCTTAGCTGACCTCTACTCGGCGAAAGGAATATTCCTACCAAATTTCAAGTCTTAGACGCCTTTTGGGTCTAGACATATCGTGATGAGTCAATTATCTCATATATACGAGTATATAGAAGATTTTACAACTTTTCCATTATCCGCTTTCCTGTTTGTTTGTTGTAATCGATAATGTAATCTAACTTTGAAACTTGAAACTTTCATGTAGACCACTGCTATTGTTCTCAGTAACATTAAAGTTCATCATTATTCATGTAGCTGGTAAATAAGACCATCAAGCATCGCGTTGCTGATCGATCTTATCTACCAGTTAGGTACTTTGTATGAAAGACATGCGTTATAAAAATTTATACATGATTATAAGTATATAATACCATGAAAGAATGGTATTTATCAATGAATTTGTCTACGTATGACGACAGCCTACTTCACGAAGTCTCTTTCATTTAAATAAATTGTCAATAGATGGCATCACGGTGTTATAACGGTGTTAGAATCTTTAAATTTCATCAAGAATTATGGAATTTACGGCGTATCAACAAAATAACACTTTTAAGAAAATACTATAGTATGTACCTATAGAAATTATTGGAGATTATCGATACGTTTCCAGAGTTATAGGGCGAATGTTGTACGGTACGTGTCGTTTGCAAGCATTCCACGTGCGTCCGGCGACGGGTGATGACGTCTCGACGCTGCCACGACGCGCCGCCGTCGCTCAGCATCACGTGACTAAGCTGTTTAAGGAATATACCAATGGGAATTAAAAACACATTCGATAGGCTGTAACTTTAATTGATTTCATTATCGAATGTTACGTTCGTTATTTTGCATTTTGTAAGTTTTCATTTGTTAACCAATTTGTACTTGCTTTCTAAGACGTTGAAATGATTAATAAACAAATATAAATTGATTTTGGATTTTATTTCTAAAAGGCAACTTATGTGTTATGAAACAATTGTGTACAAGTAGAAAATTTTTATATTTGACCAGCTGAGCCGGAAAATGTTTTGCCGTATAAATTATTTCTAGGGAATTTTAAGTGTACAAAAAATTTTTGGGGTGGACCACCATTATCATTTAGGGGTATGAAAAATAGACTACGACTGAGTTGAGCTATCAAATATACATAATTATAAAACTTCATAATAATCGATCAAGCTATTTCGGAGGAGAATGGCAAATAACATTGTGATACGAGAAATGTATATAATTATATACTAGCGGACTCGACAGACGTTGTCCTCCACACACGTCTTAAATCCGACATTTTATTAATTAAAAAAAATTGTAGTGAGCCGAAATGTGATTCTAAACCATTTCCGAATCGACCTGAAGACATACAAAAATTTCATTAAAATCGGCGGAGCCGTTTTGGAGTAGTTCCGTGACATATGCACATAAAGAAGAATTATATATATATATATATATATATATATATACACACTTAATGCGAGACTTTTGTTCTGTCAATGTTTTTTTTTATTTCTGTCAATGGTGAATCGTAACAATAAAATTCATGGCGTTCATAGAAAGGCGAGGTCTTACAATTTCCTGATTGCGGTTAGTAGTAAAAAATGGTAGTAAAACATAAATGCACCATAAGGGGTATCTATAGTAAATATTACCATTACATATTAACATTACCTTGACATATTAACTATAAATATATGTCGCATCCTGGTCATGAGTATGGGTGTTTGAGGAGTCATGAATCCATAATAATGACTACTCTGAAGTTGCATCGATCACGCCACCGAGCGCGTCTCTAACTCCGACCATCAACTATGTAAGCTGGCTGTTCACCGAAGGGTAGGAAATTCGTGCTTGGTTGTACTCATTGGACTTCTGCTTTATTCCTTTTCCCACTAATTAATTTACTTAAAGTAATCGAGTGATTTTGTTAAAATCTATATGTATGCAGTATTTCGATAATTTAAAATAAAGTACGACACCGCGATGTTGACATATGTATATAAAACCTTTCTGGCTTGTAGAAATGAAGAAATAATAAAACACTACTGTTCTGTTTGATTTTTAAAGTAAGCAAAATCAAGACTTTATTTACACAATTATGTGTAAGTGTAATTTAATAATATTGTGTTTTTTAATTAAAAGTGTTGTTTTTTAATTAAATTTTGTAATTAATAGTGTAATTAAATACTGTCTTGATACATGTATATTTTTTTTTTTCTAGTCAGAAATGTCGACGTCAAATAGTGCAGATGTATGTTAATGAAATCTGTCTGTATAATCTATAGACTAGAAGTAAAAAATCTTAATAACAATTGTAGATAAACAAATATTGTCTTCATTTGGAAAACCTTTAACGCGACATGAATATATTGGAACAAATTGCTGAAGATGAAGATGAAGATTTTTCTGAAGAGTCGCATATTACATGGAGCAATTTGTTGTTTCTTCCCTTCCACCCTGTTTTTAAATTCATCGTCCTGTTATCTGTAATAACGAAGAGCATATTCGTAAGCGATTCAATCTAATTGTATAAAATGTCGTTCAGTTCAGCAGAAACTTGTAAGGCATTACATTACTGCCTATAAAATTTACTTTAACATACATTAATTATGTTTGACATAATATTTTTGCAATGATCTCTTTGTTAGCTAGGTAAGTATTAGCCTGAAGCGTATTTTTTATCCGATAATACTATAAATAGATCTTTCTTTGTGAATATGATATGACAATCAACACTGATAATCTATAAGTAATATTGCTTCAATCTTAAAGGTCCTTATTTAATGTAGGATAATAATTTTCATTTTGGTAATTTTTTATTCGGAGCAAGATGTTAATCGTGTACATATAATGAAGGAACCATGTTTCAATCTAGGGTCCGCTACAGATGGTATATCCTATCATATACTGCTGGGACGTGCTCGATCATAATATATACCTGTGGCTTGTAAAAGTGTTTTATATTTATGCTTGTGATCCTATATACGGCATTGACACTTGCCTTCACATAATGCATAGGTAAGTTAGACTTATTGCCGATTCGGAATGTGGTAATGGTAGTGTATATGTTCTAAGAAACGTGTTGTCTTTTAGATTGGGCACTAAGAGTATACTGTTAGTCTTTTGGCCATAATTTTAAAAACAGAATTGATAAATTAAAAAAAATCGAAAACCGGGTTCTGTAGAGCAATTAATGAGATCAATAACATTTTTAAATTCTTAGTAAATTTAACTTATCATTATCATCATATCCGCATGACGTCCATTGCTGAACATAGGCCTTCCACATTTACTTCCACTTCGACTGGTCGATAGCAAGTATCAGTAAATATAACTAAAAAATTAAGTTTAATTACAATAAAAAAGTTATAATTTATTGTTTTTTATAAAGCGCCGTAATTAAGTAACCGGAAAACGTGTCGCAAGGAACCAAGCGGGATTTTAAAACATTTTTACTCCAGCGTCTATGTTATTATTTGCATATAACGTTAATAATACTTTAGACAAGTCACGGATGAGGCAATGAGACGAGAGTTTCTACCGAAGTCAGCTCTTTTGCTATTTATCGACATACTGTGTCTCATACCATTCTTTCGACTCATGGTCCGAGACGTTTGTACGGAATTAGAATTTTGGCCAAACATTTTGTCAGCATTGGAGTTTGTTACGTGAGTAATCGTATTATTCTATTTTACAAATAATATTGTAATGAAATAAAGAGATGGGAATACCCTTGTTTTCTTAGCAAAAAAAACAGCTTTCAAGATAGGTCCCGCTGCATGAATTGGCCAATTCGACCGGGAAAGTACCAAGGATTCGCAGAAGACTGCGTGAATGAGATATATTATACTTTGGCGATTCGTCTGGTGAGTGTGGTGACCACGTCCCAATGTAATTAGAGGTTGGCAACGCACCTGTAGCCACTTATCACTGCTCACTTGCCATATTTAAAAAAATAACGCAGGTCATATAAGTTGTACTATGCTGTAATCGAATCCAAAACAAGCTACGCGAATTTCTGTCTGCCGCAACTGCATCGATAAATTATTACAATAAATTTATCCATCCTTAATTTACCTAATCAATTCTAAGTCACGGATTGCATGTTTATCTTTGAAGTCATGCCATTGTAAATATTTTCATTTCAGTATCTATAGAGTAGCTGATTATTTTTCGTTGTTCACAACACATGACTATGTCAAACTTTCGATTGGTTTCACACTTATGTATTTTATTACCATCAACTGCATAAGCTGTTTTTTTCTTTTGCTGACGTATGTGGGCTTGTGCGGGAATTGCCATGATGAAGTATATTTTAAAGACTGGCGAAAATATATCATGCATAAGGTAGAAAATATCAAGCACTTTCATTTAATGATAAACTGCTTAATTGAAAGTACCTAATATTGTAAATTTATTCTTTATTGCAGATTAACCATAATGATGAAATTTATTCAACGTATATTTATGGATCGTCATTGATTTTCTCGTTTCCTTTAAATATTGTTATTGAAGAAATTAAAGCTTCGACACTTACGGAATACGTATTTTTCAGCATGTTAATGGTATTTTGCTATCTCATGCAAACATTCATTATTTTACCAAAAATGGTCGCCGAAACACTTTTGCAACTGAAGCGTATTTTTACATTTTATCCCCGAGTGCAAATAATTATAGCTGAGACGAAAAGAAGAAATCCTTCACCTGTGGCATATATCGACGTCAAGAATTTTTACGCATTAATGTGGAAACAACATGGTGGAGTCACACGTATTCCTTCTATTAACTCGGAGCTTCCTCGATATTTAAGAGTTGAAATCAAGGTAGATCTTGTTTGGTCTGTGTTCTACCATAGCCCCACTTTTAGGAGAACATCGAATTCATACCAGAAATGGTTATGCGATTATATACATTTAGAATACAAGCTACCTGGTTCGAGATTTTACGTTGGACCGCAGTGCCAAACACATTTGTATTACATCAAGTCTGGAATTGTCCAACTAATATCTACTGATGATGGTGCAACGCCCATAATATCCGTAACGAGCGGAACAGTCTTTGGGGATATCGGTTTTTTTGCATCGCCGCTTAACCGCAAAGTTGTTGTTCGGTGTTTGACTTACTGTGAAGTTTTCTATATTTCACGCACTGCTATTCTCAAGTCACTGCATAAGTTTCCCGACGATCGCAGATTGATTTTACAGCGTGTTAAAGACAAACTAAAGCATGCTCACACACTGTACATGTGTAAAATGCATGTTAGGGGCTTAGACAGGGCTGAAGATGAAGGAATTGCTTGGATTAAAAGGCGATGGTGGGAAATATCCAAGGTGGTTTCCCATTGGAAAAAAAAAGAAAGTCAAAATAAAATCTGTTTTGAACTACCGACGGAGGATGCGATTTATCATTGCTCTAAATATATTGGCCAGTTAGTACTATGTAAGGAAGCACAACTACGTAGGAACTCTTTATTCGTCAATTTAAGGTTCCCTTTGATTTTGGCGCCCAATTCCAGTTTTTGTATGACGTGGCATAAAATTGTAGTGTTAACAGTTATTATGGTGTTAATGTTTTATCCACCGAACATTACTAGAACGACTGTGCCCATTTGGTTTAATTTCTTTCGATTATGGGCCGACTTTGTGTATGTGTCTGATGTATGCGTATCTCTTGTAACTTCTATGGAAATTCCTGAAACAGCCCGAGTCAACTTTGCAACAGTAATGTTTGCACGCTTTAAAAGCTGGCGATTCTGTATAGACGTCGTATCAGCAATGTGGTTTGAAAATTTGATGACGCTAATTGGATTGTCTCAATATTATTACACGGTACAATTTAATCGAGTCTTGAAAATGTATGTTCTTTTTCCTGATTGGAACTTCGGGAGAGATCCGTTATTCTATGTTTTCCTTAAAGTATGCCTGATTCATGTGACGTTTGTCTACGTTTTTAGTTATTTTACATTTTCTTTAGTTCAAATTATACCTGAACTGAGCTCAGTCAATTTTTTTGGAGAAAAGTTCTGCAAATTGGAAGATCCTAAAAGCAAATGTAACTTCGAAGTAAGCACAGACGTACTCCAAGTGTTTGTTTCATGGCTTATAGAATATCTTTTTGCTGACTATCAACCTCAAAATTTGTCGGATGTTTATACGACGGTAATAGTTACTTACATGGGGTTTTTGATATTTCTCTATTGTAAGGCGGCTCTGATTGGAACCTTTCATTCAAATATCACCGGAATATCAAATTATCAATATTTTGTGACTAACATTACTAAACATTACAAACAATTTCATATCCATCCGGACCTTTTGAAACGATTACATCGATATCTCATGTGTCATTGGAAATATTTTCGTGGAATGGATGTTTTGTATCCAAATCTATTAGAAGATGAACCCTACGATATATATTGGAAAGTACATGGTGAGGTAGCTGAAAAAATTATTGCGGAGTCCCGAGGATTTCTGTTTGCTGATCGTGGTTTTGTAAAAGAAATAGCCTACCATTCTAAATTTGTAATGCTTCCGCAAAACTCCACTGTAATTGTTTTTGGACATCCACCGAAAGACGTTAAATGGCTAGTACAAGTAAGTATTACTATTTTTATCGAAATCGTTTTCCTTTGGTTAACAGATTAATGAAGGATGCTTGTTTTCATTGCTTAAAAATAGTAAGAATTGTAATAAATAAAATGTAAAATGGATACTTGCCCAAAATAAAATTAATTTGGACTGTAACACATAAAAAAAAAAACAAGATATATCTTGTAGTTCTCGCAGTAGACCTAACCTCTATTGTGTTGGAACTAACACCAGGTTGTGTGGTATTTATTTTATTGATAGTTTTTTAACAATTAAACCATACATCAAAATTTGTCCAAATAGGGTTACATAAAGTGCGAATATCACAACGAGCGAGCTGAACTGGTCAGGCGGTTTTACAATCCCGGTAAAGCTTTAGCATTCGCAACAGTGCTTTTTGCTGAACCATCACTAAGAACATACGTAGCTTATACAGAATGCGAGGTAGTTTTTTTTTTTTTTTTAATTTTGTTGTCTATGAAATTTACCTTTAATGCATTTGTTTTTATTATATAGATCCTTTATTTGAGCAGGACAACGTTTTTCAAAATTCTAAGTCACTATCCTAACGAATGGTCTCGTTTTAAATTTTGTTTGGATGAATTCAAACCAAGATTTGGCAAATTGATTCAGGAGCATGTCAAGAAATATAAGGATGTATGTTTTGCTTTTGATTGTTATTAAGTTTAATTTTATTATAATATTAATATCAAGAGAATAATGCATCTAAATTTTTTTAAGTGAAAAGTTTGATAGCGAGCAGGCGGATTACTGCTATCCGTTATCCATAACACGTAGGCTTGTGGATGCGTTGCAAAATTAAATGCAGTGAGCCCACTCACGAACCGAAACGTAAAAGTGTAACACTACTACTTCATGGTAATATTCCGTGAGGCCTGGATAATTTACTTAATTAGCCCACTTGTTAGGGCCACGCAACATCAGATGTTGCGTGGCCCTATCATAATAGCTGCGTAGCCCAACGATTTTATTAACTGTTATTATTTCTTATTAAACCATACCATTGGTTCAAAATTGAATGTTTTTAAAAACAAATTTATTTTAATTTACAGTATCAGAAGAAAATACGTAAACAGATCTTTCATTCTAGAGTTTCAATAGTCAAACGTCCAAAACCTCAAGAAACTGTAGCAACGGAAAGCTTCTTTAATTATGATTTATCGTTTGGTTTAAGGCCTGATTCTGAGTAAGTAATGACTCTGAATGAGTAACTATTACATTACATAACGTAATAAAACACATCCTAATTTTAACTGTCACTTTTTAAAAGTATTTGTTTTTAATTCATATTTTAATTGGTTAAACATTGTCTGACAGTTTCATTCTATACTGGATGCTGTTTCGAATGTTGGTCGTGTGTGTTTCGCTTATTGCAATGGCTTTACAAGGTAAAAAAGATTTATGTTTAAGTTAATTTTCAGTTATTTTTTCAAAGCATGTAAGAGACTAAAAATTAAGTCGTTGGTTTTGATGGTAGCACAAATTGTCACTTAAGGTGAATTTGTAATTCTCTCTATGATGGATATTGGCACAATAATGAAGGAAATTCCCGTAGAAAATAATGAAGTTTTGTTTTGAAGTTGATTAACCTTTTTTTGTGATTTCCATCCGGGATATGATCTAACGACAAATGTTCTGGATCTAAGTGTTTGTTAATATTTAAATTACTCCGGCGTTAAAGTGAAATAAAAGTACAGCTTATACATCATAATTATGTCCCATTACTGGACAAATGCCTCTACTGTATAGAAAGCGTAGGTACCGCATGCTTCTTAGCTATATGTATTCTCGCGATGTTTCTCTTCAGCGATGATCACGACAAAATCACTGATTAAAATTGCAAGTAAAGCAAATTATAATTCCACCGCCAAGATTTGAGCACAGGTTAGCCGAGTTAAACAAAACGGTGATCGCTATCACGGCTCTGTCTACGGTAGCTCTATTACATTTTTGTCGTCACTCGGAATTGCTTGGCAATCAACTATGGTAGTGCCACACAGTGGTTTCTGTTGTTTCACGAATGGGCAGGCTCATCCGAGGTTGTAACACAGCCTCAGGACCGGAGTTAATTGGAAATATTATCGTTTCACGTTTCGTCTGATGAATGAGGTAACCAGGGTTCAATTTATACGGGTTGGTAACGCATCTGCAACTCATCAGGTGTTGTAGATTTCGCGATGGTAATCACTTGACATCAAGGGAACCGAGCGCTTGCTTGCTTACAATATTTTCACATAAAAAAAAATACAGGCCATGTGCGCGTCGGACTCGCGAACGATCGGTTCCTTTCGTACCACTATCTATAAAAACGTCTGTTGTATTGGAGCCCCACTTAAATATTTTTTATTCTATTTTTTAGTATTTATTGTTATAGCGGCTACAGATATACACCTTCAGTGAAAATTTCAACTAACTATCATGGTTCATGAGATACAGCCTGGTGACAGACGGACAGACAGACAGACAAACAGATAGATAGCGGAGTCTTAGTAATAGGGTCCCGTTTTACCCTTTGAGTACGGAACCCTAAAAAGACGAAGTCCACCGTTGCTATGAATATTGAAATGGAAACTAATGTCATTTGCTTTTTGACACGCTTTTATCAGCTTCATCTGTATGTTTGTCTTATTAAGAGTGTGTTATGTAGGTGTGTGTATTTCTTGGGCCATAAGGTTTGGCTTATTTGCGTGTAATAAGCTTTTTATTTTAAAATAATGAATTAAATTTCTATTACATAAATGAAAAGGGAAGTATAAATTTGAGGACAAGAAGTATTTAAATGTAAACTTGTAAATAAAAGAACTATTTAACAAATAATTTTCTATTTGAAGGTGGCGCTGGAGCTTCCTGGAGAAGGCCTTTGATGATAATCTGTGCCTTTTGTGACTGCATAGCATTGGCCGATATAACTTTAAAGTTTTTTGTAAGTTGATACATATCGTCATTTCTCGGAATGTTATTATTATCTTAATAAATTCAGGCCAGAAAAAGACCAGCAAAATTGCTCTTACGACGCGTTTGCGTGCTATTGCTCTTTAAAAAGTCTTGCTATTATATCCCAAGAGCGGTTAGTTTCCGCCATTTAACAGCCTCGAGTTTAGCCAGCTCTACTGGGTCGCTACGACCTTGCATCCATGTTCGCAAAAATGTCCAAAGGTGTAATGCGCGCCAGGACTGCTGCCGCGAATGATATCGTCCGATATCCTCAAACGACCCGTATCGTTATGCTTTGCTGGTCGCTGTAATCGTCTAATGTCTAATGGCCAGCCTTTGAGCCTACACTGGTGCTCCATATAAAGCCACGGATCGTACGACTCCTGCAAAAAGGTGGCGTACTTCCACTATTGGGCCAAGATTGGGCAGCAGTCTCTGCATGGCACTCGCTACCCTCTTGATGGGGAGTAGGCACTTAGGATGTTCTTCACACCCCAGGGACATCTTATAGCATCCTAAAAGTAGGTAAAAAATGCGATAGCCACCTATTGCAGTTTTTAATTGATCATGCGTATATTTGTGTCCAAAACTATCCAATTAAATGCAAATCAATGCTCAAAAATTCTTGTCTGTTGCACGAGTGGGCTGGTCCGACCTTTGTCCCATTATTTTAGTTAGTAAAATATGAGAATTATGTAATATGAATTGCTTTTTTATTACAGATGTCGTATTACGATGAACGTGGTCTTCTTATAACCGATTTTAGAGCCCGCGTGAAACACTATCTAGGACATAATTTTCTGTTGGACCTCGTGGGCACTTTGCCAGCTCAAGAAATATATGCAATAGTCTCGTCCAAGGTTTTGGAAGATGATGACGCCCTTCTTTTGAACACTTTCAGCCGATTTGCTCACTTGTATATAGTCATTGGCTGTTTCGATTACTGGGCTGATAAACCCACATCTAACATTGCCTACATCATGGTAGTAGCCACTTCTTTTTTGTAAAGAACAGAAAGTAAAGTGATTGTGGATAAATAAAAGTTGAAACTTGTACCAGACAACATATTTTATCTAATCTTGTTATTATTTATCTGGAAATTATTATATGCAAATGACTAAAAATACAAAATTACTGTTGAAATGTCCTAAATTATTTATTGAATCCATTTTTAATTTTTCTTTTAGATATTGAAATGGCAAGTCATCTCTTTACTGTTAATGTTCGCTGCCAGTCACTTTTTCATAAGGCAATGTATTAGCTTCGACTGGGATAGTGGGGGTGAACTGATTAACGCGACCCTTATTAGCAAATGCTGGCTCCCCAGTTACACGCACTTTGCAGTTGACAACATTATCAGTCATGAAAATATCAGTATGGTGAGTCCTTGTCATGACGTGTTGTTATGTCGCCAGCAATGTCACATGTAAAATTTAATTTATTTTATTATTTGCAAGATCTTCGCGCAAAGTCTCAATTTAGCACAGAGCGGACTTTTGAGGATTGATTTGGGAATGTTCTTTATGGATCCGAATAATATTGGCACCGCGACAGTTCTGCTGTTGCTCGGCTGTTCTTTTTGGTAATGTGAATTTGTAGATCTCACTAAGCATTACACTTGAATATGTCACATTTTTTAATGGGAAGCCATGAATGTAAATAAACACTTTCATGTTATCTAGATATACTTTTGCTTAGAATTTATAGATTTTAAATGATCCTGACTACTTTACTTCGTCTAAAACAGTCAAAGGAAAGAATTTGTTATTCTTTTGATGATTCCTTATTCCTCCAAATAATAAAAAAGTGAAATATTAAAGCGCTATTTCTTCTGATATTTACTATGTAACAACACCAACGTTAATTGTACAACATAAGTGTATCAATAGTGATAATACTTTTTAAGTCGCGGGCTATTAAAAAATTTACATTTTGCAATTTTCCTTACCTATTTCGTTTAGGTACGTGTTATGTTATTCTCTAACGCTATTGGTGCTGAATGCGCGCGTTAACACGCTTTATCAGCAAGGAGTGCTGCAACTGAAAAGGTTTCTAGAGGCTGAAAGAGTGGAGATTCAATTGATTGATTCCGTTCAGGAGCATTTTAAATATGTGTGGCAAAGGTAAATTTGTAGTATTTCTTAATATATACTTTTATATCCTTTCAATTGAGCATTCTAGTATTTAACTTCTTCGTATTCTCTACTTCTTCATATTTATCCGCTTTTCTTGACATTAATGGCTTCTTTAATATTATTTTTAGAACAAAGGGTATAGACGTTCAAAAGTTAATAAGCAAACGCATTGGTGTGGTTTTTAGACAAGATTTAACTTTTTATTTCTTTAAAACGTAAGTATTCTATACAATATATATAAAATGTAACACTCGCTATATGAATGATTAACATTATTGCAAATAGGCATATCAAGTGGCTGTCACCGGCGAAAATCTCAACTATACGCAACAACGCGCAATACTTGGCGACGTGGGTTCGATTCCCGCAGTAGTAATCCATTTTCTAAAAATTTTAATCACTATTGGTTTTGTATAAAAGATGTAAGTTATCATATAAACGTTAGATCTATTGTTTTCAAACCATGTTTATTTTTGTTAAAATATGTAGGCCATACGAATAGAGCCTATATATATTGTATCTTCCCTTTGTTTTAAATGCACATATTTTTCTTAGAACAATATCGTCACTAAATACCCTACTACAAGGCGGGGAAGAGATCGAAAGACAATTAGCGACTGTAGCGAAACAGATACATTTCTCACCAGGGTCGGAAATAGTGAGGGAGATGGATCTAGCTCCTTCGGTGTATGTCGTTCATCGTGGCAAGGTGCTAATTAAACGGAACGGGGATAAGTTGGCAATTTTGACGAAGGCAAGTCTTTAACTTAATTTGTATTGCAAATACTTCAACTCCATTGTAATTAAAATTTAAATTATTATGGTGCTAATCTCTGCACTTAAGATGAAACACGAACATTTGTAGAAGAAAAAACGAAAAGTTTCTCATTGGAAGATGTAGGTTCATCCACGTCTCCCGGATTCGCACCATTCGCGCCCAGACGCTTTAACCATTAAGCTAAACGGCCGATTGCCACTCGCGCCTACCCATTCGTGCAACAGCAAAAGATACTGCGTGCCCGTAAAGTTACCATAACAATCTAATGAAGTGTTGACCTCTTGTCCAATGGTCGAAACTGAAAAGCATAAATACTTTTTAGTAAATTCCGGTAATTCTCTTAAAGGCCGCAGTTTCCGGTTGAACAGATCATAAAGTGTAATATAAGTTTCAAATATTTACCAATGTCAGCTGATTCTGAATCAACACAACTACTTTGCCTAAAACTGATTATATAGAGAAAGATACAATTAATCAAATTCGCTACGTTGATGTTAGCTCAAACAATATTATTTTTGAAAAATAAAAAATAAATTGCAAGATAAAAAAATTACTAAAGGAGCTTAATTTCTTTTCTTATAAATTTTGCTCACCCTATTTTTGTAAGTAATAGAAACATAGCTGATGTTATAATACTTCATCCTGTTCTCTTTAAAAAAAATGAATTTTAAACTGGTTTTGGAAGTGTATCAACAAAGTTATAAAAATTAGATTTGATTGATCATTATCTTAACGATTAACCATAAATAATGTGTTGTTTGCTGTAGGGGGCGATTTTTGGCCAACTCGATGGTGTGAATCCAAGACCCGTAAGAATATCAGCGGAGGCTGAAGGTTATGCAGACGTATTGGAAATACCAATTGCGGACTTTCAAGAAGCCCTAAGTGACGAGGTTCAGTCAGTTTTTAAGTAAATAAGTTATAACGTGTCATCTTACAACGTATCAAATCTAGAAGCACGTCGGATAATTATGATCATCGTCCAAACTTTCTTGATATGATCTAATAATTCTCATTGTAAACAGGTTTCAATTATACTGTTATAGTCCAATTAGACCATTAAAATAAATTAGTAAAAGGAAAGATGAAACACTAAAGCAACCTAGTAATGTACTAGAAGTTGTGTCTTCTGGTTTGCAACCAAACTACTTTTGAAATCCATTAAAATTCAGTATATCAGATTTACTCTATCTAAGTTGTCTCAGAAGCCAGGAATCTATATTTATGGGAAAATCTCCTCTTAAGATGATCCTTATCTTTGAGAATTCAACAGCATTTCTTGGAATATGATGAATCCAAGTTGCAATAGATTCCTGTGATAAATTAGCTGACAAGTTGAGCGTTGCCGACTTTTCCATGCAGATCACTTAGTTTATTATGCTTATTTTACTTTTGCATCTCTTTTTTTATTTTGGGGTTCCGCATTCAGTTAAGAGTAGAGAATATTTGTCTCGCAAAAGCGGGCAGTCTATGGCTTGGATCCATGTGAGTCACTACGGTACCTTTCAAAGCAAATAAACCTTTGAAGGCCCTTCGTTAAACGTACTCAAGAACATCATGTATGTACGTAATGATATCCAAATTAAAAAAAAAACATTTCACATCTTGTTGGGTCCGTGGTGACTCGTGAAGTATTTACTGGCCAAAACCAGAAAGTCGTTTCTTGGTATATGTATTAACTTTATTAATATAAAGTATTACACACACAAACAGCTAAGTGTATGCAATTTTAACCAATTTGTAAAAACTACCCTAATGGCAAGCGCCTATAATGCCAAAGAATACATCGAAGACAAGGGTGGTGGAAATGACTCTACAAGTCCCCTGGCTGCTGCTGATTATATACCTAAATATTTTGTACTTGTTTGAGTCGATTAAAAAGAAAAAGAAAGCAAGACCGCAGTATTTTGCCGGTTCCTCTCTAGTCAGGTCCAGATTAGTGAACCGGTGGCAGTTTTTTGTCGTTTTATAAGACCTTAACATAGGTCTATATTGAATAAAGTAGTTTTGACTTTGTCATGGACAAAAATGATTTATTGAAATTTTCAAATAAAATTAAATGAAATGATGTTCAATTTAAGTTTGTTTTGACGAATCAGGAATCATTGCTATTATTTTAAAACCTTAAGAATGAATCACATCTTGTATTTACATTTTAGATAAGAGTGAATATAGAGCACAATACCCAATCCAAACTTGATTTTATGGCCTTGAAAAAGCTGATCATTGAAAATCCTTACAACACCATTCAATATATCATACGAGGAAAGAAATCAATAAAATTACCTGTAAGTAATGTTACTTATCTCTATCGACTAATATCCCACGCATTAAGCTGGTTTAATAAGAGTTACCATAATTATAATATATTATCTATTTATAAAATGTAAACTAGAAAAGTTTTATTCTTTTTCCATCAGAATGTTGAGGATCATAAAGCTCAATAACTCCACGTTATGAACGTTGCATGAGCGTTGAGGCTTCAAACTTTGTGATAGTTTTCATAGATATTGCTTTTAGTTCTAATGCCATTTCTTTGATACGCCAACTAGAAGTTATAAGTAAATATAATAGATAGATTTTTTGTCTTTTCGTCACTGTTACAGTGGATGAAGACTTACATGGAAGCAACAGACGGTAGCTGGTACTCCCGCTGGCTTTTCATCGCTTGGTTCATTGAGCCCACGGTGACCGCCGTCGTGGTACTCACCTTAGAGACCGTGCCCAATGAGTCCGTCTACAAACTTTACTCGCTCCTAGTTGCGTTGGACGTTATACATTTCTTATACTTCATCTCGGAATTCTTCACGGTAGGGTCAGCAGTGAGGTGTTCTATGATGTTTCGCACATTCTTTTAGTAATGACGTTATTTTAAAGACATGTGTCCCTTAATTTAAGATGGAGTTGACTGTTGTGGGTGACGAATGCGTAATGAGACTCTCCTCTTATCGAAAATTGTTAAATTGGAGCTGTTACGCCGATATAGCAACACTTATCTTACCATTAATTACCTTTGGAACGGGCAATTGGTTGTATCAGTTTGTTAGGCTGATCAGACTTCGTTTGTTCTACGATTTCTATTGCTATTTCTGCACCGGTTTCCAGGTAACTTATAATTGTGAGATGTCTACTAGATTTAACTAAATTTGTTTAAACAATGATATGAACCTTTTTGTTTAATAGAGCAGAGTCGCACCTATCCTTTTAAAGTCTCTGTCTGTAGTAATGGTATTACACGCAATGACTTGTGGATGGATGATGATTGCATGTAGAGGTATTTAAAAATATTTTTTTTTTTCATTTATTTATTTTTCATTTAGTGAGTAAGCATAGGTTATAAAAAAGTCAGCACAAGCAGGAGATAAGATGGTCTTGATCTTGTCTTATTTTTTTGTTATATCTTTATGTGACGTGAAGTTTGAAATTAGGCCGGCGGCTTTGACAGCTTCGGTTGAAGAGGTCAGGTCAGGCAGGCGACCCACGGAATCGGAAGGACAACGTATGTACGACGATGACACGTGTCCGGTTTTATGGTTTTTGAGAGGGTAAAGTAAACTTAATGATTTCAATCACAACTTGAAATCATTAAGTTTACTTTCGTACATTTGATCTCGATGTACATCGGAAGCCCACTTGCTAGTTTGACCTATAGCGTCCTTTGTTAAGTATGCATAGTTCACCACGCGATTCCATCGTGGATTGACAGACCTTACATGTCTTTATAATTTGTATTGTTAATTGGAAAATATGCAGGTTTTGCTTACGATGTTTTCCTTTACCATGCACTGCACACCTAATGCCATTACATTATACACATGTCGGGGATAGGCCGGAAATATCGTAATTTGCGCCCATATACACGTGATAAGTTAGCGCTTAAATTGCAATTAACAATTTGCAGGGTTCTGAACTTTAGTTGCTCTGAATACATTGACCTGAATGTTTTTTTATTTTTTTAAATATTCGCTCCGTTGAATTTTCAGATGCAAAATTTCCTATAAACATTTCGGAAATCCCCGCTGATATTAACGCCACAATTGACTACGATGAATGGGCGCACCCAAGCGAAAGGAAAGGAGGTTATTATTAAGAGTTAGATTATTTTTTAGCAGTCCTAGAATCCATATTGCAAAACTTTAAACCTCAGGTTTGTGGACGACATTTGACTGCTGTTGGAAGACCCGTACAAAGTGTTTTCAAGATGGAACTCCTTAGTCATCAAAGCGAAACCGTTGGGCTACAAACCAACTGAGAGAAAATTATGACTACTCGTGAAGACCTAAGACCATACAGACTAGGCATATAGAATATGTCGCAGACTACATTTTATCATTTTACTTTGACTGTCTTTTTCTGTCAGGACTTAATTTGATTTCAATTAAAACCTGTACCGAAAAAGATCTCGATCGTAGAGTAAAGAGCACGCGGAACAAATACTGGGCTATGAATGAAATTTTCAAAGGTCCGGTAATATCCGCCACAAAGCGATTAATGGTAGAAGGTTTGCGTGCCAGATCTGATCCCTCAGTAAATCACTCTTAAATAAAATAAAAACCTTTAACTGAACTGAATTGAAAGGTCCAGACGGGCAAATAATAGAGTCACCTGGAACGGTATGCACGAGGCTTTTATCGTAAAATTGGCCCTTAGACCTTGCAATACTAGCCCACACATAAAGACACATTAAATACTACTAGAAAAGGATGCATTTAGGCGATGTAATAAAGGTGATAAATAAATATAAAACAGTCACGTTACTAATATTTGTATGACCTATAGATACTTGTTATTAAATTGTTCTCGGCATTATGTTTAAAATAATAAAATTTTACACTCTTATCCTTAACTAGGCTGCGCACGAATGACAATCCCTTTCAAGGTGGGCAACAAATACCTCTTCAGTTTTATGGTTCCACGCACATGGGGTGCTGATTACATTGTTTCCATGACCTACGTGTTAGTCCTCTACACTCACACTGAGATGGACTCTGTAAGATTGTTCAACTTCTATTCAATATTTATCGTACGTTTTTTTTGTTACTTGTTTTTTTTCTTACCGATTCGCTTCATTTTCAAAATAGGTATTGGCGTTGAACATAAAGCAAGTGTATTATAAAATCTTCATAAATGCCGTCATACACCTGTTGGACATTTGGATTCTGAGCATTGCAATTAGCGCTGTCTACACGAAGCTCCACGAATTGTACAAATATGATTACAAGGTGGAGAAACTCCTTACGTATTTGAAACACACCGGATTGTCGCCGGCGATGTTACAAACCGTCGAAGACTACACGAAGCACTTGTGGCAAAGGCAGAGAGGTACCTAATTAAAATTAGGTGGATGGTATCCAGACAAACTTTTGATTTAAGGAGATGAGTTAATAAAGCATCTTTTTTAGTTTGATATGAAAAGTGCGATAGCTTATACAGCATGGTATTACAACCACGACCTTAAATACACACTTCTAACGCTACTTTCCAATAATCATATAAAAATACAAACGTTAACAAATCCATAATTAAAAAAAAACAAACAAACTAATTAAATAAAAAGCAACAAAGTTTGTATCCTATAAACTACAACTAACTGCTTCATACCTACAGAGACTATTTCTTTCGTTGCTACAACCCCGGGTTACAAGTCTCACCTTGTAACACTATTCTATTTTCTTCTTCGTTTTGTATTCCTTCATTTAAATATAGCTCCTTCTGATAATTTTTCATGAATAAATTGCCTGCAGGAAACTGGTTGCCAGAGTTGGTACACAGCGCCCCGCAATGTCTCCGCGAAGACATTTTCGGATCCCTCTATCTTTACCATTTGAAGACGCCACCACTGTTGCGCGACCTTCCTGATTATTTCCTCCGTCAATTGGTGGCGAGATTGAACAGAGTCGTGATCTTTCCCGGTAATTAAAAAGCATTTATTGAGTGTGAAGTGGATGTTTATTCAGATCTTTCCATTGCAACTTGGAATTTATACGGATACCGAAACAATAGCATAAAACTTGCTAAGATGAGTGTCCATTGTTACAGGTAAACTGATAATCCGAGAAGGCGACATATACTCTTGTATTTATTTCATTCATGAAGGTGAAGTTGAAAAATGGGGAACTGATAAAAGGTATGTAGCATGTTTGGAACAAGAATGAAATGATTTGACTTCTACCGCACTTATTCAATTTTTTTGTAAGTGATTTAATCTCTATTCTTTGTTCATTCGTAATCGCTGCAAAATGGTTGTACTCGAAAAGCTTTATATGTTAAAATTGCCAAAAGTCACTTTGTCGTTAAATGGGGTCAAAGGTAATTGGCTATAGCGTGTTTTGTGATGCAGCCAGTCATTTTATTATATTCTATTTCCGTGATTGTTACCAGAATTGAAGCTCATGACGAAAGAAGAACAGAGAAGGTAGACATTAAGATGTTTTTATTACAGTAATGTTTAACATAGTTAAAGTTTGACTTTCATGCTTGGCGGAGCATTAATAGATACATATACTGACAGTAAAAAAACACCCACCGTGTATATAATTAATTTGAACCCAATATGATTGGGGCAGAGACAAATTCTGCTTCAATTACGCAAAAACGCTATAACTTTACAGGAAATTTCAAAGCAGATTCAATTCAAAATTAAAGCAATAAAGCTGTTGGCGTAGCAACAAAATCTAAATCACGATATATTTGTAATACTATAGAAAAAATGCAAGTTATTTCTCTTTTTTCCAGCGGGGAAAAGAAGATGCTGGGGTTGCTAAATACAAACGACTATTTTGGATTTATTCCAGGACTCTTTCCCAATTCTCCGTTCCGTTATACCTACGTTACGAGAACGGTAAATGCTTTGAAAATATTTCGGACAGAAATGTAAATAAGTACCTACGGACCCCACCCGGGCCACTATAAAAGTAAAACATATGTAGTTAAAAAGCTTTTATAATTAAATCTTTGAAACTAAACGCTTCAGTCAGCACTTAGTCATCTTATCAACCGACTTCAAAAAAGGAGGAGGTTCTCAGTTCGGTTTTATTTTGTTTGTTACCAGAGAACTCGGCCATAAAAGAACCGATTTTAAAAATTGCATTTAGTTCGCATGATATTAAAATTCTTTAATATCGGACTCCGGAAATACATCAGGGAATTCCTCAAAATCAAATAAAACATGTTCTCTATACATTTTTTGTTAGATATTTGCAGTTCATTGCTTGTTTTGTGTTAATAAAAAATGTTCTTCAAGTCTCTCTTCTGGCGTCTTATGTAATATATAGTCGTGTTGTTGTCTATTTCAGGTCGTCGATGTAGTTTTTTTAAGATACAAGGATTGGCAAGATCTCTTACAGGGTTATCCAAAAGTTAAATACGATTTGTACACGGCGGCTATGCAATATAAAAAAGAAATTGGAAGTAATTAGTTTGATACTGCAATATTCTATAAAATATTCTATATTATATCATCTAATTCACTAAATATGTACTTTTATTTCAATCGCCTTTATTTCTCCTCGTGAAACACTTACAAATTGTTAATTTAATTAACATTTATTTATCCGGCTCTTTCGTGCCGTGAGATTATGGGTCCTTTAGCTTAGTTGTTAAAGCTCCTGGGCGCTAAACCGGCAGACGCAGGTTCGAATCCCGCAGTGCCGAAAGTTCTGTTCATTTATTTCTAAAAAAATTCAATGTAAACCTCTTTGCTACTTTAATAAATAAAAACTAAATATATGTTACCCAAAGGCCAATTCCTTGGAACTGCATATCGTAACTGCTTTAAATCTGGTCCAATATTGGTTATGAATCGCAGTGAAGCATCGAAAATCACTCGCGTGTGTGACACTAAACTATCCTTTTAGAATTAAACACTCGACCTTGAACTTAAATTTGAGTCAAATGAAAAGTCTACTCGTAAAATGCGTTCGTCCGTGAATGACTTGTAAAACACACATTTACCCGAGCTTCGTAAAGAGGGTTAATGCGCCATCCATTTAATTAAGATTTTGTGAGCACGACCCTTTCTTTCATGTGGTCTTGTTGCGGTGCCGAATAAATAGCATAGTACATTTAAGTAAATAACAATTTCTTATAAATTAGAAAAAAATTGATAGAAGCCATAACACAGGTGTTCAGAAATTATACCACATTTTAATTTATTTATAAACGCCTGCGGTATTTGTCATAGCAACAAGTCCGAATTAAAATTTTGTTAATCAAATGTCATTGACCTTCTTATAACCGTCAGTGTATAATTTGAATAGAAGTCGTTAACATCTTTCTAAGCATTTTTTATTCACCACCTGATTATACTCCCGAACACAGGGCATAAAATGATAGATAAGATACATTTTGATTTTGATGTACATTTAGTTATATAAGCAATTATATACTGTGCTGTTTTGTTTTGCACTTGTTGAATTACATAATTTTACTACTTTGATACTACTAAAAGACAGCTTAAAAAGACAGCAAAAAGCTTAAAGGACAAAACCTGCATATAGTGGATTATTGCTCAACTATGGTTAGTAATCCACTATATGTTATATTAATATACCGGCTAAACTTTTTGTACTTAATTATTCGTCCTTCTGTTTTGATAAGATAAACTGGAGCATGGTTAAAAGTATTTTTGAATATTCGTGCTGAGATGCTGCTAGTGAACTTAATTAATAATTACCTGAATTGTAAACAATATTGTTTTAAAAAACTATGGCACGTCACCCGACAAGAGCTAATCACGTTGTGAGTCCCACTGCACCGTTCCCTTGAGAGAAGAACCGCTGAATGTTCTTGAATGCTCACAACAAAAACGTTAAGAATATGCCCTCGTTCGTATTCGACCGATTCTACAACCTAACAAACTCTTAAAGCAATAAGGCGTGCGTGCGTCCATCTTAAACACCTTTACAAAATTCGAATAATTTAGAATAAGTTTATCCGCCTCGCGACCGGTGCTGGGTGGTATCAGCATTACGTCGACTCCTTTCCACTACTAGAGAACTAACCAAACGATTCATCTAGACCAATGGAGAGACAGAGAGAGAGAGAGAACAAAATCCGGAATGAGGAAACGAACCAGAATCAATATAGCTAATTGATATAGCTCTCCGGATTTGCAAAGCGCCAATGGGCAGGCCACATCGCTCGAAGAACTGTAGACCGATGGGAAATAAAATTTCTCGAGTATCGAGCACGAACCGGTAGACGTAGCGTTGGAAGGCCTCCCTCTAGGTGGACCGATGATATCGGAAGAGACGTGGGCAACCGGTGGATGCAAATGGCAAAGTGTCGTTTGTTGTGGCGCTCTAACGGGGAGGCTTTTGTTCAACAGTGGGTATCTTGCGGCTGATAGTGACGACGATGATGATGTTTCGTAAGAACGTTTTATATTTCACGTGAACAAACACCCAGATCTGAAAAAAATATTTGTGGGACACACTAACAGTTGTCTCGTGTAGGAATCGAACTCCAAAACCCTGGTACCCTAGCTAACCTTTGGACCTGGTCCAAGGAGTCATTTTTTTTTCCTCGGGTCGCAAAAATCTCAACATTTACTTTCTTTTTTTGCATTTTGTTACAATTTTAGAATACATAAATTTTCGAATAATTTTTCAAATATTTTTTACTAACTATTAAAATTAATGATTAATTTTATTTTTAATGCTAGTTCTGCACTCAAACTTTCTTTTGTAGGTAAATTGTATAAATAGGTGAATAAATGTAGCAATTGCTGGTAAACCATATAAGTAAAATAAAATAAATTCTGTCTTCTGGTCTTTTATTTTCACTCTTGCTTCATAAAATTATAACATACTTCAGTACTTTAAAACTGTGTATGTGATATTCACAAAGTATATTATGTTCAATTCAACGCCCGTTATAAACAGATATTTACGAAAAAATATTACACAACATATCCGTTTCAAGAATACATTAACCAAATTTGCTTAAGGTAATAATATTCTCATAAAATAGATTTATATGATAAAAATATCGTAAGCATATCGCAAATAATGAAGCTACAAAATATTCAGCGACAAATAACGCGAATGGAGCCTCTTTCTATTAACGTTGAATAATTGGGCAATCTCATTTGGATAATGTGTTTTGAAGCAAGTTAAGCTAAATTGTCTCGGTTTCTTTTAATCACGTAGATCTTAAAAGGGCATTTAGTGTATTCACGACGAATACTTTCTCAGCTTTTTGGGTCGTTTTACACTTTTGTTGGGCTTTCATGTTTTTTTATTACTTTTATATTTTTCATTATTTTAGAACGGATGACGTACCAATTTGGCTCTGCCAGGTTTTGATCCGTGACTGTTATTGGTGGCTCAGCAAAAACGCATATTTGCGCTCCGGTTTCTTTCCTTTGCACCCTAATATACTTCCTAAAGGTGTTCCTAATGATATCGCTTGACAGACGTATGCAGACGTGATATCGGTGATGGCTACCTAAGGACTGCTGACGCCAAGTCGGCTGGTCCACTCCAGAGGATATTAGGATATGAGGGATATGAGGTTTCGTTACTTTGCAGCACCAAACGCTCTTCTGGTGGATCGCATTTGCCATAGTTCGCCAGCTGAAAATCTTGGTTGCCTCAAGGCTGCCTCCCTTTGCGCTATCTTACATACTACCATCAATTTTTGGACGTCTATCGATATGACTGGAAACTGCCAACCCCGCCACCGCCTTTTTTTATTATGGTTATAAGCACAGACGGTCCTTCGCAAATTTAATTAACAAATCTCTACTGGTATCTTGATCCGGTGTTGTCTGTTGACTCACTGCTTGGAATAGTTTTCTCATTAAAATGATCCACCAGTGCATGTCATCATCATTTATTATATGTCGGTCGTCACTTTGTCATTCCATATTATTTTTAGTGTGTAATACACAATTTACTTAATAAAAAATTGTATTATAAACCGATGTGCTAATGTATTGTAATTATTAAATGCTGTTTGAACATTTTCTTAGATTTATGCAAACAAAATTGTTGGATTTCATGTTGTGTAATTCAATATATTAAATGAAATACGTTGTTAAATAAAAAAATACATTCGTTGTTTCGTGTCTATTCTTTCTTACTTAATTTTCTTGATCCATTAAACCCCAGAAATTCCAAATACTATATCTTAAACAAATGGAATATATTTTAAACAACTAAAAACCTGACTGCGTTTTATGTGTAATTTTTTATTTTGATATACCCAGTGTCACTCTCACAGTTAATACGAATCTAACGACACCTCTCATGCTAAATCCAACAAGTAACCAATTATACATATATACATACATACTCTCGAAAACATAAACCTCCTTCTGACGCAGTCGGGTCAAAATATACGAAATATAATAAAAAAAAATGTTTCCCTAAATTGGTTTAAAATCACCTTAGATTCCAAACTCAAGTGTCAATCGATCAATACTAAGCAGAAATTTGAAATTGAAAAACTCAATAACAGTGGTAATATGTCGTACATAAAATCAGGAATTTCCAATATCTTAGAGACTTCAAATTCAAGGCGAGATGTTACAAATTAGATGGGACAACTGCACCTACTCGATACAGTGTGGGTGATTTTTTGCGGTAATCCGGAGCTCCTTGTTGGTAATCACGACGCTGTTTAAAAAGAAATACCCCCAAAAGAATCCCGAATAAAAATGAATAAATTGCCCGATTATCGCTCCTTTATTAACTTTAACGGAGAGACTCCGTTTTGTTTCTTTTCACGAAAGCAATTTTCGCAACGGTTTATTTTCTCATAAAATTTACGAGCGAGGCTACGAAATGCTATTAATAATAACACAATTTTTGTCTATTTCCTCTCAAACGTTTTAACATACTATTGTGTTACATTATTTTTCTTTGAAGAAAAAAATAATAAACAAAACACTATTATAATAAAAATATACAAAATTTAAAGAATGAACATGAAATTTGATACACATTTAGTACACGTATACGATTATTTGTAATTATGGGAGTATTTATGTATTTATAACTAAAAGTACGTCAGAAGTTTTGGCTTTTTATTTTTTAAAAGTATGATATTTGTATTTGTGATACATATAAGGTGGGAATTAATATTATTTATCGTTAATTATATAATTAGGTAGTATAAACTTGGTAGGAAACACTATTAAACATATTTTTTGCCTTATTTCTGTTGCCTAGATTTTGTCTCTAGTCTGTTGCAAGCTAGTCGATACTAACAATTAGAAGTTATTCAGTAGATGTTCGAATAATTCTTCAATCTTCTATAATTCAGAATATTTGAAAACAACACACTTAGGCTAGACCAAGCTGTATTTACTAACAAGTGAGTATCATGGGAATGTCTTCGCTTTATCAAACAGGTCCGTCAGAACTCAGAACTCTGAAATTTGTTGTATTTTCCTTTAATCACTTAGGTGGTCATTAACTGAAAAATTGTTTGAAACTTAATTATTGCGACTTGTTCACGTTTCAGATCCCAGTCATTCAGAATTTCAAATATAAATAATTTGAATAAAGCATAACTTATATTAACGGTTTATTTTGACAGGTAAGTTTTGTGCTGCAAAGATACAATTTAGTTCTATATTTCAAAA